TGATTTGTTATGGTCTAATATTGTTGAATCTGTAACAGATTAGATTATGATTAGTCACAGAATAATGGCTAATTACTGTCCTTTGTAAACCATGTAAAACCATTTTACTTTGTAACCAAAAGTGTTATAATAATTAGTATTAATAAATTTATTGCTTACCAATCTTAGTGTCTTGAACCAAATCATATTTTCCTATCTCAATAAAACGTCCGCAATCAGCAAGACATCGAATCGAAGCTTTGAATTTATCTTCAGCCAGTGAATTAAGAACTAAATCAACCCCATGACCATTTGTTACTTTCATAATTTGCTCTTCAAATGATGTTGATCGAGAATCGGCAATATGATCATCATCAATTGCTGGATATCGTTGTTTGATAAAATCTCTCTTAGCTTGAGTTCCAACCGTTGTAAACACTGTACAATCCATTGCAAGACAGATTGAAATTGCAGCTTGACCAACTCCTCCTGATCCAGCATGAATCAAGACAGATTCACCGCGTTTCAAATTACCTCTAATGATTAAACCATAGTAAGCGGTAAAATAAACGACAGGGATTGTTGCTGCCTCAGCAAGAGTCCAATTATCAGGGATTTTCATTCTGTAAAATCTTGAATCGATCATTATTGAAGTACCAATTGAACCACCAACACAAATTCCCATAACTCTATCACCATTAGCATCAATACCGGAATACTCCATTCCTACATGAGATTCAACCAGTTGATAATGATTCTGTGGATAAGCATTGACTGGAATCCTTCCTGAAGCAACCATAACATCTTTGAAATTAAGTGATCCGTAATAAACACTAATCATATCAACGTTATTTTTCATTGATTCAACAGGTAATGGAGATGGCCAAGTGTCAAATTGAGCCTGGAACCATCGGAATGAAGATAAATCTCCTTTTGTTTTGACATCAATGTAACGATCTTTAGCATCAACTTTAAACTCATCGACATCTTCCAGTAGCTGTGATGATAAAGTTCCAACACAATCTCCATTTATTATGTTGAACGCCAAATCCTTTTCAAGAATCTCATCTGGAATTTCAATTTCTTCGTCCTCTTCTTTTGTTGGATAGTATAAGCACCTCAATAGGTTACCCCTTGGCTCTTTACGGAGACAAGTTGTTAACCCAAGAATACCATTTGTCGATCCTGTTCCAACTAACCAAACCTTATTGTCCTTTTCAATCAGCTTTTCTTTCAATTCAGTGACCCAATCATAATTTTTCATGGTAACTCGAATAGTTGAGAAAGCCGAACCTTCGGATGGAACACATTTTCGTGCAAGAATCGAAATCCATCCTTCTTTGGTTACATGTTTGGTTGCAATCAAAGTGAACCCTGTTTCCTTGAATGTTGACTCTAGACTTTCAATGTCTTTAAATTTAAACTCATTTTGTGCTATCATTGAATCTAATTGTTGTTCAACTAATGACAATTTACTTCTAGTAATAAACAAAATAAAACCGCCATCCTTTAAGCACTCATGAGTGACTTCCAGTGTTTCTTTCAATTTAAATGTAACATCAGCAGGCAATAGATTTTGAAAGTTAAAATTGACTTGATCGTCTCGCAAGACAATCAAATCAGATGAATGAATATCACTCATTCGCTTAAAATCATTATGAAATTGAATAACTTTTGGACCATTTGTTTCAACAAAGGCAAATAAAGACTCAGGAACTGCAAATGTTGTTGTTGACCGAATCCCAATGAAATTGAAGTAATCATTGATAACATCCGAAAGAGAGTCGATTGAAAAATTAATGTCAGAAACTGCAATTTGCTTCAATGAAATATTTTCCCCAATTATGGACAATTGCGGCTCCAAGCATGCTTTTAGTGGTTCCTTCATCAACATGTCTTTGACTAAAAATTTACGATTCGTTTCAATGAGACGTCTAAATTCACCTTTACCATCTTTAACTGTATTTTGATTGTCGTCAGTTGTTGCTGTTGTACAAGCCAAGTAAAGGATATTTAATAATGTATGAGATTCATCTTTGATTGACAACATTCGTTTAATTGTCTCCTCATCATCAATCGGAGATTCAGTTCGAAGATTCTCAATGCACTGAGAACAATATTTTGAATAGGAATCCAATCCAATTGAAGTCTTTGCTGTCAATGAAATCGATTGATCATAAGGAGTAAACATTGTTGTCTCAAGACGAGCAATCTGAGTATCTTGACGACGACCAACCGGAGAAGCTTTAGCTCCTTTAATGAGTAGGCCTGGAGCAGCACCGATATTGGCATCTCTATCAAAGTAAATGTCAATTGTTCCCTGTGTTCCTTGAGGTGCTGATCGTCTTGAAGATTCAATCGATTCTAATGTAACCTTTTGATTGATGAAAACGTATTCCATATAATTTGGTAAATACAATTTACGATCTGATGAGCCAAGCAGTGATATTTGTAAACAAGAGTCAGCCATACTAATCCAATGAGTCGTCTTCTTGATTCGACCCCAACTACCATCGGATAGAGCTTCAGTTAAACCCTGAAATGAATCTCCATAATCGTAACCACGAACACGAAACTCTTTATAAATATCTTTGGGTCCAAGAGTGATAGCATTGTCTTTGATTGGTCGATGAACCAGAGCATTTTTAAATTTGTAATTGGCTTGTTTTGGGATCCTCCATCTGCCTGTCGCACAAATGGTGTCACTTTCCTTGATAGTAAAATGATCGCCCTTTTCATTGACATAAACAGTAAATTTAGCTGGTGAATTTAGGCTTATAATTGTGGCTCGGTAAAGTTTAACATCGAAAAATTCAATCGGTAAATTATCTGGACAATATTCACCCAATTTATAAGCAATGTTACACCAGACAATGTAGAGGTAACCAGTTGCTGGAAACAAAATACGTCCATCAATACAATGGCCACGAATAAATTTCCACTCAGGATTCATTAGATCAACAATTGTCTCTAAATCTTTCTGTTGTAAAGTATAATATTGAGGAAATTTAGTGACTAAATATGATGTTGAATGGTCCCATTGAAGTAGATGTCCAATTGAAGGTGTCTCACGAGAAACTGGATACTTTACAGTTGGATAAAGCTTTTCAATTGATGGGTTATGTCCAGCAATATAAATCTCACCAATTGATTTGAAAATGGACAAAATTCCTTGTTGATAATTTGTTGATGAATTGTCAATTTCATGGCCCAATATTGACATTCTCATTGATGAAGAGCCCAATTTATCAGACAAAACATCTAATGTCCATTGAGATGAACCCATTTCAATGAAAATGCCATTGGTTGGTAAATATGTTGAGGCTTCATAAAAGTAACTCGGAGACTTCAACAATCGGATGAAATAATTTGCTGTTATGTATTGACAATCATAATCATCCCAACGTTTAGGTTGAGCTGAAGTTATCAACCAAGCGTCGGAGCGTTGTTTACAGTTGGTTAGAATGGGTGACAATTTGGTGGCAACAGAAGCAGTTATTGATTCCATAATTGATGAATTGAATGGTATTTTAAACGAGTCTAACCATTTACAGTTGACTTTTTCATACTTGGCTTCAAGTTTCTGTACAAATGCACTAATCGAGTCAGCTGGACCTGTGATTATTGTTGATGATTTTGAGTCCAATGATGATAGTTCAACGTCACTTGGTTTTAAAGATTCAATTTCTTCCCAGTCGAGGTTGATCTTGACCATTGCACCTGATTTGTTGATTGATTGGGAACAAGTAACACCAATCCAGTAGGCAACCAGTAACGCTTGTTCACCGGTTAGACATTGATCAGCATACGCTGCAGCAATCTCACCCAATGAATGACCCATTATACCGTCAGGTTGTAACTCCAATAACTTGATGAACTCAAATAGTGCCATTTGAGTTGCAACCATTGATACTAATGATGTTACAAGTTCTCGTGATGATTTACCGTTTTCTTGAGTAAGCAACTCAATCAGGTTAATACCGAAAGGAGTCAACACGGAATTGAAAGATTTTATCTTTTCATGAATGATTGGGATTGACATTAACTGGCGACTTAGATTCAAGTCAACAGAGTAACTGAATAAAGGAGGGAAAACTATCCAAAGAGGCTTCCGACGTTCAGTTTCCCCGTAATCAGACATTATTATTGATTGATTGTTGTCCAAAATCAAATATCCTCGATGTTTTAAACCAGTTTCTGGTTCAATTTTGCTAACATCATTTAGCAAAGCTAATAGATCACAAGTTAATTTACCTTTGTGAGATTGGATAAAATTTTCAATCTCAGTCAAACCCTGAATGGTTCGATTGTTGAAGTTAACTAAACGAGGAATTGATTTGTCACTCAACAATTTGTCTTTAACTGTAGTCCGTTTAGGGTTGGCAGCTAACACTGAATGAACATTGACACCACCAAAGCCAAATGAGTTGACTGCAATTAAATCCTTTTCATAAGGAGTTACTTCCAAGACTGGTTTAATAACTCCTTTAATCAGTGACTCTATGAATGGATTAGGTTCATTAAAGTTTATATTTGGAGGAATCAAACCATTTTGAAATATCTTGACCACCTTTGTGATTGCACAAAGAGCTGATGCCCCTTCACTGTGACCCATGTTTGACTTGAGACAACCTACTAACAGAGTTTTGTCTGAATTGGGTCTCAATGCTTTAACCAAAGCAGATGATTCGACTGGATCACCCGCTTTGGTACCCGTTACATGAGCTTCAACATAATCAATGGTCAATGGATCGATTCCCAGTGAATTGTAAATTGATTGCATTAGACTCAATTGAGTCTCATATTTTGGAAATGTTATTCCTTCTGGTTTGTAACCATCACAATTGGTTTGACAATCAAGGATTCGAGCATAGATTCGTTTAGAAACTGACTCTTTCTGTACAAACATGGCAACAACAGCTTCAGATCGACAATAACCGTCAGCCGAGGAGTCAAGACACTTGGATTTACCATCGTCTGAAAGCATGTTCAACTGATGGAAAGCAGCCGATGTGTTGGGCCACAGTTGAATACCAACACCAGCAACAATGGCCTGGTCACAGTCACCAGAGATGATTGATAATAAAGCTTGGTTAAGAGCGGAAAAACTTGATGCACATGCTGTATCAATCAGTATTGCCGGTCCATTCCAATCAAATGCATAAGATATTCTGGCCACACCAAGCTCCAAATATTCAGGAGGGTTTGATTCGTCCTCACGAAGAGCAATCAATGTATCATCGTAACAGTAACCAACAAAGAAGCCAGTTTTACTTCCTCGTAATGAGTCTGGACTCACACCTTGATGAGAAGTGAATTCAAGAATATAATTATACAATCATGTTTTACCGATGCTTCTTCATCAGAATTATGGATTTTAAAGTGACAAGCCAAGCATATCAATTATTAATAAACAACTTAATCTATTTATAAATGAATTGCCATTGACTACTAATTGGTATTTTCAAGGATAAACTTGAGGGTATACGAGATGAAAAATTGCTGTGTTACCATTAAGTCCAAGTAATTAAATGACAATTGGCACAAAATTGGATCAGTTGTTTGATTAAAGTGACTTTGAAAATATTACCTGAATCCCAAATGGCTTCGTAAATTGCCTCATGAAGTATCCTTATTTGAGGATCCATAAAGTTGGCTTCTTTTGGATTAACACCAAAAAACTCGGCATCAAGTCGAGATATGTCTTTCAGTTTACCCGTAAAACGAGGTAAATTCATGCAACCTGAAAACAAAAGAAGAGTTAATTAACACCTGGCTAAGGTAAGTGCAAAATTTAATTCCAATTAATCAATTATTCCGCCTAAATACACAAATTTCCGTATTTAAATGCAAACAGTTTGAGTGTCTTTGTAAATTAATTGTCCGAATCAATGTAATCTGAAACCTGTTCTCATAATTGAAAACTCTGTTTCCATCAAATTCAATCAAGGCTAAAATAAAAATGAATGTCAATTGTGATTGATTAGTGTTGGGTTAAAATTGTAAATAACCTTCTGACAATTAGGATATTCTTAATCTTATAATGATCACTTTGAAGTTTATTGGCAATTGTAATTCATTTGGATTCAAAATTGTACTCAAAACTAAAAGGCTTTTACAAATGTATTTCAAAAACCATGTAAATTAAAAGTCGGAATCGGATTGAATTGACTCAAATTATGATCTAAAGATGAGTTATTTTGTTTGCTATTGTTTATTAGTTAAATTTTGACCTAAAAGATTGATTAACTGTCCAATAATTGTCAAGATTAAGGTTAACAGTGAAAGTGTTTGGGTCAAATAAGGAAGTATTGGACTTAAAGCCATAAAATTCATTTTTAGGGTCATCCTGGTCAATATGGAAGGTAAAATGAATTATAATTTTGCCTCTCAAGGATTATTATTATTATTTATGGTCGATTGTATTATCACCCAGTAATTACAGTTGTCATCAATTGTCATTCAAAATGAGCAAATTGTAATTAATATGATGGGATTGCAAGTGAAAATTAGGTTTGTTAAGATCACGCAATTTTAAGAAAATTTGGTTAAAAGTGAAATGTTGAACACAAATTAACAATGATTAAAACAAGATACTAATCAATTGAACTGTAATTAAGTAATGTGATGATATTTTCCGTGTTTCATTGAATAGACTAATTATTATTCTGTGGCTAATGAATGAAAAAATCAACGAGCTTCAACAATTAGTCAGATTTGATTTGATTTTCCACCAACTCAGATCTATCGACAGTTTGACTCGACTGTCAAGTCACTTAATGCAATATTTCACTTAAATTTCAATTAACTCATCTATTGGTTTCAATCATTTAATTGTAACAGAAACACGCAAAGCCGAAGTGAAAAGATCAGTAAAAGCTTCAATTAAATGACCAAATCGATCAGCTTTAAATTGTGTTCAACAATTGGTAAAATGAAAATGCAAAATCAATTTCTCGCTCAAGTTAATTTATTATTTTAGTCTATCATTTCCTAAAGATATTCAACTATTTATTGTAATTGAATTGAAATATTGGCTTATATCGTAAAGACAAACACAGAGCAATTATTTCACATGTTTAATGATCAACTTTTGATTTAGCAAATCTAATTTAGAAGTAATCAAGTCTGGTTTAAATTAGGTTTTGTTGAATTTAAGAGTTATATTTGGTAATAGTTTTGTAAACTTACCCAATGGCCAACGGCGATCATCAGCAGTGTATAATTCAACTCCTTTCAATAATTTAGTCCAAAACTCTTCAATACTGTCTGATTCAGGATATCTTCCAGAGATTCCTGAAATTACAGTGTTCTCTTTGAATTTCATGGTTAAATTATGGCTGGTTAAACTTTGATTAAAAGATGAAAGGGAATAATAAACAATGGGAAATGGAGATCTTCAATTGAACAGTTTTTACACTTGATTTGCACAGAAACACAGTATTGCTGTTTTATTTTGTCCCTTCCAGATCTGAAGATCACTTTGAATTAATGATTGTTGTAGATGAATGTTTAGCTGAATGAGATTATTTAAATGATGATAAACATGAAAATGGGTGAAATTGAGAAAAGTAACGATCAGAAATACGAGAAAAGACGAAAAAAAGGAGTGAAAAGAACACGAAGAAGGAGGAGAATTTATTAAAATAAAAAATTGGTTGTTTGTCATTGCCTTGTTATTTATTAAACAATTTTCCGTTAACAGCAATTTGCCAATTTTTTATTATCTTGTCCTTTTGAATCTAATAAGTTAAAACAATTAAATTGATTTTCATCGCAATTAAATGGTCAATCAGTTGAATATTCAGTTGACAGTCCAAACAGTTCACTCATGGCAATGTTAATAGTTGTGAAGTGTGAAAAAAATAATAGATTCAACAGTTTCATGAAAATCAGGCCTCAAATACATACAAGATATTCAGGCTTCACAACTAATTATTGTAAGGGTCTACGTGGATGAAGAGTATAGCTAAGATCATGTACTTCGATATCGGATGTTACTAAAAAGCCAAATTCAACACAATTGTCACGTTTGAAAACTAATTGAAACAAATGGACAAAAACGGATGAAAATTCATTTCTTTCAAATTAACACTCTGATCGTTTGTAGAGACATAAAAATTGCGTTCATTAGTGCGATTTTAAAGTTTCTCTGATCACCAATTTTCGAGAAAAATGAGTTCGAAGTTGAAACTTCGATCGCGATTTATACAATTATGAAATGAGACATTTTCCTGTAACTTACTTTCCTCATGTTAATTTGAATGGCAAACCAGAAAATGCACTTTGCTGCATGAAATAAAGTTTTGTGTTCTTGTAAAACAGATAAGTTCGATTTTCGTTTGAATCGACCCATTTCTGTGATCGGAAGAGTTAGCAAGCTGAAACTTATTTCAGACCCGTAAAAATGATTTGTTCACATGATGGAGTGGTTTTTGATCTCAATTTAACAACGGTTCTCTTGCTTTTGGCCAATAGATTCGAAACTTTGAACATCAATATTTCGAGAATGGCATAACCTAAAATCATCATTCCTTTACCAATTTAATCCTTTACTAATGTATAATTCAATAAATTTTGTTAATTCTCCGTAGGCGCATTCGAGCGATGATTTTTAGACTCTAAATATGCAAGCAACAACTTATTTAACCAACTAAACTCATATTAAACCATTTCTTGGTAAATAAAGCAATTTTCTGGTTAAACCTGCAAATGAAATGCAAAGAATGCTGCCAAAAGACTCGAATATAGAGATGAGAATCGAGACTTAGTGATATTTGTAGGGACATAAAAACTGAGTCTATTAATGCTAATAAATAGTTCATGCGATGGACAGTTTTCGTGAAAATCGAGGTTAAATTTGAAACTACGATCGCTATTTGTACATTTATGAAAGCAGACTTTTTCGTGAAACTTATTTTCCTTATGTTAATTTCAAAGGTAAACCAGAAAATGCACTTTGTCACATGAAATAAAGTTTGGTTTTTCTGTAAAACGGATAAGTTCGATTTTCATTTAAATCGACATATTTCTGTGACCGGAAGACTTAGACACCTTAAACTTAGGATTCGTCCATAAAATTAGCTTGCACACATCATAGATTGAATCAATTTTTCAACTTATCTACAGTTCTCTTAATTTTGGACCATTGGCCTTAAAACTTTGAGCCTTTATATTTCGAGAATAGCCTAACCTACAATCCTCATTCTTTGAACAAACACAAGATTTTATCATGGGCTATGAAATAATTAAGGTTTTAGATAATTTAAGAGACTACGAAAAAAGTTATAACATCACATTACCTAGATTGTCAAATTTTATACTAGATTGACAAAAATAAATGACTACTCATTATGTGTTAGTATAATGGTCATTATCAAATGAGTTGGCTCTAATTTTTGTGATATTATTTCATATTATATTATAGCTCACAATAAAATCTAATGTTCAGTCTAAAAATCATGATTTGCGGTTATGTCATTCTCGCAATATTGATGTTCAAAGTTTCGAGTCTAATGGCCAAAAGCAAGAGAACTGTTGTTAGCTTGAAAAAATGATTCAATCTATGATGTGTGCAAGTTATTTTTATGGACGAATCCTAAGTTTGAGGTGTTTAACCCTTCCGGTCACAGAAATATATCGATTTGAATGAAAATCAAACTTATCCGTTTTACGGAAAAACAAAACTTTATTTCATGTAATAAAGTGCATTTTCGGATTCGCCATTAAAATTTACCTAATGAAAATTAGTTTCATGAAAAAATCTGTTTCCATAATTGTACAAAGAGCAATCGAAGTTTCAACTTCGAACTCATTTTTCTCAAAAACGAGTGATCGGAGAGAATTTTGAATCGCACCAATGAACGCAGTTTTTATGGCCCTACAAATATCACTAAGTCTCGATTCTCATCTCTAATATTCGAGTCTTTTGGCAGCATTCTTTGCATTTCATTTGCAGGTTTAACCAGAAAATTGCTTTATTTACCAAGAAATGGTTTAATATGAGTTTAGTTAGTTAAATAAGTTGTTGCTTGCATATTTAGAGTCCAAAAATCATCGCTCGAATGCGCCTACGGAGAATTGACAAAATTTATTGAATTATACATTATTAAAGGATTAAATTGGTAAAGGAATGATGATTTTAGGTTATGCCATTCTCGAAATATTGATGTTCAAAGTTTCGAATCTATTGGCCAAAAGCAAGAGAACCGTTGTTAAATTGAGATCAAAAACCACTCCATCATGTGGACAAATCATTTTTACGGGCCAGAAATAAGTTTCAGCTTGCTAACTCTTCCGATCACAGAAATGGGTCGATTCAAACGAAAATCGAACTTATCTGTTTTACAAGAACACAAAACTTTATTTCATGCAGCAAAGTGCATTTTCTGGTTTGCCATTCAAATTAACATGAGGAAAGTAAGTTTCAGGAAAACGTCTTCTTTCATAAATGTACAAATCGAGATCGAAGTTTCAACTTCGGACTCATTTTTCTCGAAAATTGGTGATCAGAGAAACTTTAAAATCGCACTAATGAACGCAATTTTTATGTCTCTACAAACGATCAGAGTGTTAATTTGAAAGAAATGAATTTTCATCCGTTTTTGTCCATTTGTTTCAATTAGTTTTCAAACGTGACAATTGTGTTTCATTTGAACAATGATTTTGTAATATTATTAATTTTCATACACAATCAAGTTATATTAATTATACTTTTTATTTATTATAGACTCTATGAGTTTGGTTAATTTTTTACAATTCAGTATAAATTTATTGAGATTTGGATTAATTAGAGAGTTTAAAGTACAATTGGACATAAATTTAAAAATATAGCCAACTGGACCAGCATTTACTTCCAGGTTTGATTAATTAGATTGTACTTCCTTCATGTTCACCTTGTCATTTGGATACTATTGTTGATGGCAGTTTTAAGAAACAATCAGAGAAAAAACTAATTTGAAATGAAACAAAAAAAGCTGTTAGTTTTGATTTAGTTGAAGGTTGAAGATTCCTTGAAATTGTAGTTAAATACAAAATTGAGTCCAGCATAATTTGAAAAAAAGCGTCACCGAGCAACCAGTAAAACACGTTAATCCATCATTGTTTGGCTATTCAATCAGCTTTTTCAGTAACATTGGAAATCAGTCGATGCTATTAATAAGAAATAATATTCACAATAATAGAAAGTTAATGAAAGAAAGGAAAAAAAGACAGAAACAATAACAACTAACGTCAAACAATCTTGTTGACGTTTCTTATCGTTTTTCAATGTGATCTGATAATTGAAAGGTAAAGATTGAAGTCACGGTATTTGTTCAGGTAAAAGCTTTCCGATCATCATGGGTTTGTTTGCAAATATCATTTTATACCAAGTTTCTTTAATTTGGAAATATAAGGTCGATAATGGGAAAAATTTGTTGATTTAAACGCAAGGGGAGTTTTTGTTGCAACAAATTCGAAATGACATGAACAAGGTACAATTTACAAGATTGATTCTCTATTGACCTGGTAAATTAGTTAACATGAAAAGAAGTTGTTACAAGAATTGAGACAAGAATGAGGCGAGGCAATTTGAGGATAAGATGAAGATGAAAATAGGGGAAGACTCAAAGTGCTAGTAATGAAAAGGCTAGTTTAGGAATGTTATAAATAATAGAGAGATAGAATAGGTGAATGAATAGAATTGAGGAAAAATTATAACAGAGAAAGACTGAAGATTAGATAGAATCTCTATTAGAACTGGATTAGTTCAATGCGTTTAGCTGCTTTATAACGCTATTCAGTTTACAAATTTTGCCATTGCTAAATATATTTTCACTCGAGTTTGAATCTTGGTCAATTAGATTAGTCAATTCTAAAATTATAAGTTGAACCATTCGGATACAGATAATTTCAGGAAGTTTTATAACTATCGGTTACATTTTGATGAGTTAAGTAATTTGGGAGATCAAAATAATTAGAATTTTTTAGTACTAATAATTACTATGTAACATGACAATGAAATAAAAATTGAATAGGATAACTGATAGTAATAATTGTTGGATTTTCATAGGTTAATCATGAATAAATTGCAAGCTATTTGGGTAAACTTAAATCTAAAACAATATAATTCGAGCAATTTTCTGTCTCTGGATCGATTTGATAAAACGAAGAGTCCAATTTTGTTTTAGGTACTCTCATTGAATCAATATCAATGTTTCAACTCATTATTTGTTTCTTTTGATTAATCTAATTGTTACAGATCTAGAATCTTTTCGTGTGGTTAAAAATGAAAGGCGATCAAGAGATGATAAAAGATAGATTTGCAAGAATGTGAATAAGAAACGGGTTAAGGGGTAAGATTATGTTTTGTGATTCAGAATGAATCCTTTTTGGCTGGTAACACTCTTTTACCAGACCAGAGAGTATTATGTATGGTGAAGGCATCAATTGTAACCGATAAGTGCTTGGTCTGAACCTCGTTGAAGTTTTTTCCTCCGCAATTATATCTAAATAAAGATAAGAAAATATCGATTAATAATTTGATATAAAAAACGTTAAATGAAATTGGAAAAATAAGGATCAATGATATTAACTGTGTTTTCACCAATAAATCTATAGACAGAATGATGGTTGATGAGAGAATGAAAAAGACAATTAAATTTTCTATTAATACAAATTGAATGATTTGCCAAAATATTAATCATCCATTAATATTTTAAACATTGAAGTTAAAATTAGTGAACTGCGCTTTAATTGCGCTTATTCACTGTTGAATAAATTATAATTAAGATGGATTCAGAGATTGCAGTACAATAATTACATTAAGAAATTATTGTTATTCCGATGATTACGAGCATTAAAAAATGTTTAGCTTTGAATAAATTGAAATATAAAAACATGATTTGTGATGACTTAATTAGTTTGATTTCAAAGTAAACAAATTTTGCAGCTCAGTGAGCAAGTTTAGCATGGTTAGGTTAAGACGGTGTCGATGAAAGTTGAACGATCAGGTTGATCGAAACCAGTTAGAGTTGATCTTTGTTAGTTAGCTGCTAATGATAAACATTCTGCTACTGTCATTAAAACTTTTCTAACGTAGGAGTACATCGAGGTCCATTCGAACCATTTGAAACTGAATCGTAGGCAGCATCATTGTCATCCTTGACATCCATTGCCGAAAAATGCTTGGCCATATCTTCCTCCTCATTAGATTGAAAGGTTGAATTACGCCGGAAACTATGTAGCCTTGATGAACTTGATTTTGATTGATTTGCTGTAGTTTCTTGTTCACCCCAACTAGTATGCTGAAGGGATTTCATTTTCATTTCAGATGGAGTTAGGCATGAAGTGTCTCTTAGTTGACTTGAATTAAGGCTGGAACAGTTTTCGCCAAAATAGAGTTCAAAGTTATTTGGATCGCTTTTTGTACAATTATGGAAGCAGTTTTTCAAAAAATTCAACTTGGACATCATGACCAGCAAGATAGTGGACGGGATAAATTGTAAATCATATTGGCCAAAGTAAATGATAATAGTAACGTTTTATAAAATGATCTTGTTTCCTTGCCATTTGAACAAAGGCATTCAAAAGGTTACTCAAATAATTACAACTGATTATACTGAGTATTTATGCTTACAGCTAACCCAGAAAGTGAATTGAGCAAAATGGATTCCTTAATTCATATTCACTCTCGAACACACACACCTCTCGATCCCTTAATTGTTAGGTTCCAGTCCAAAGCTTTCATTTCAGTAATTGTGTTTAAAAAGGTTTTACAAACAGCAGTTAAGATAGCGTTTGGGTTCAAACATTGATTCTGGAAATTTAATCTGTAACACTTATTTAACGTTAATTCTTGTTTCATCAGTAGTAATTCACTTTCAATAGATAGGTAAATTGTTGATTGACTAAAAGTTAACATTAACTAACGATTACCTCATCACAAATATAACAACAATAGAAGTTATTTTGAATAAGAAAATTTTCGCTCCAAACCAATCAAGTTTCATTAGCGTTGATTAGGTTAGTTGAAACTTGAAACTCAAATTAAGTACAACTCGGCAAATCAATTAATTTGTTTGTTTTTCATCACATCTCTTCAAAAGATCCACAAAATGAAGTAAATTGGGTGGATAAAACGAAATTAATATCATTGAACCAGATAAACAATTAACCTTGGGATGCCAAACTTACTTATAAAATTTATCAATCATATCATCTGTAACAATTTTAGGTCCATTTCCATGGAGTTTAACTATTTCTTGGCGATCTTCACGGTCAGGATTATAGGAATAAATGGCTCTGAATTGCATTCCAGCACCCCGAAAGAGTATTAAAAAGTGTTTACTTTCACTATTATTCATCTCCTGTAAGAAAAAAAGAGAAAACTTAAATTAGAAAAATGGTAAATGCAAATCATTATGATTAGCTTTATTAAATAAATTGGAAAAAAAAGTTTCGCCTACATAACCGCATTCACATGAAAACATATCAATTCAGCCCTTACTAAGTTCCTGCCTTTATTTTTTTACATCATTTTCTTCAACTTGTATGTTTGTGATGAAAACGCAATTTTCACAAAACATTGACAATCACCTTTTTCAAGCAATAAAAAAAACCGGAAAACAGACGATCTTCTACTCTCTCTCTCTTTCTTACTCTCAAATTACTCCTAACTGAATAATAACGGAACAAATCAGTCGATTAGGTTCACTAGTTTATGTCCCAGTTTGACCGGGTTTTCACCAACTTCACTTTTTTAAATGATTGAGCCCCAATTTACTTACCTTTGGCTCATTGTTTACTAGCTTAATTCATTACAATAAATCTTTATCTAAACTTGCAAAGTAATCTCACGACACATCGTACAAGTGTTTGAGTAAGAGAGAGAAGGAGAGGAAAAGGAAAGGAAAATGGTAATAAAACATGATATTTGAAATGTTTCAATAGAAGTTATCGTTTTCTTATTAACCTTTGGTTTTGATTAGTTATTCAGAAATACGTTAAGAGAGATTTCGATCATTTTCCTTTCAAGCTTATGAGAAATCAAATAGTGCATAACAAAACTTGAAGAGCTAGACTCTGATAGCTTACCTCTAAAACTTTCTTTTTAAGATTGGCATTAACAGCACCAGCCAAAACAACATTTATAGCGTTAGTTATAATCCCTCTATTTGATTTAGCTGTTGGCTTGACATACAATTTGGGTCCCGTGTATTCGGAAAATGTTGAACCAGCATCAGAAGCACCATCTGAAGATGGACCTCCTTTATATCGACCAAGTATACAAGATGCTGGTAATTGGGGTAACCGGGAAGTTGGTGATGGCAACCTTCTCGAGTTATTTGTTGTTGACATAGAAGACCCTGGACGTGAATTTGATTTACTCCCAGAAGGATTAAGAGCAATGGAAGCATTGTAATTTGAATAATTTGTATAATTTGTACCAATATCATCAGTTATTCTAGATGGTTTTGGGTCAAGCGAAGTGTAATCTTGAATATTAGAGGCACTGACGTGAAGTGATTTTGGTCGAGGTTTAGTTCCTGAAGCGGGTCGGGACCGAGAAGGACGATTCAAAAGAAGAGTGGAACCATTGCGAACTGAATCTTTTGATAGATTAGAAAAATTGGAACTACTTTCATCTTTATTAGCATCTTCCTGTGCCTTTCGTTGGCGATATTGTTCCAGAATTATTTGTCTTCTCATTTTTTCCTCTTCTTTTTTTCTTTCAATTGATTCTTTTCTTTGCCTGTGAATTAACAAAAGAAATAAAATTTAATAACACCAACTTTAATATACATTCATAAAAGTTCATGATAAAAAAAGATATAATTTACCTATCTAAATCACGTTGTCGTGCTAATTCAATTTCTTTCTGTGTTCTTTTGGCCTCTTGCATTGCTCTTCGTCTCAAAGACTGTAACATAATCATTTCTTTCTTCTTGGCCATTTCAAGCTCAGAGACAGGATCTAATGCTTCAGAGTCAGCTCCAATAATGAAACCAACTCCAGGGGTTAACGATCTGGGTTGATCAGATTGATTATTAGGCAAAATATCTGAATTATTTTCTTTATTACTATCGCCATCGTTTGATCCACTTTTCTGGGATGCTGGATAACTCGCACTGTTGTTGACACTGTTTTTGCTAATATTAACATTACTATAATTGCTACTAGTGTTGGCATTGCTATTTAAACTAGAGTTTGAATGATTTTGTCTTTGATTAAGTCTAAAAGGAACATTATTTTCACTTCGCGATCTTTCAGCGTTTTCTGAGCTGGTCAATGATCGCACTGAGGCTCGATCTGATCCAGAAAGTCTTATGTCATTCATGTCACTCATACTTAGATCACTACGGCTGTTACGCCTATCACGGCTAACAGTAACTGCTCTGAAACATTTTGGTCGTAAAGGAGGTGGTTTAACTTGAGGTAACTTCTCATCAGCAAAAGATATAAAAAATCCTTTGTCCGTGGCATAATTGGGGATCTCATCTTCTTTTGTTGATGATGCATCAGATAACTCCTTTTCTGATGACGCGGCTATGCTTTCTTTTTCATTGGAGTCCTCTAAACCGGAATCACTTTTCTTTGATTTAAGTACTCTTAAAAAGGCCTCTTTACCAATATCTTGTCTCTTAGCTTTCCACATATCCTCAGCAGATTTCCTTTCTTGTTCAATCAACCTCCTCTTTTCTTCTAATTTTAACCTTACATTGTGAATCTGTGATGCAACTTGCATGTTAACCTGTTCACTGGTTGCTCCTGGTTGTAACACTAATTGACCATTTGCTTTATTTTCCTCCGGGAAAAATAACTGTTGAGCTTGAGACAGTGATTGTTGATTTTGCTGTTGCAACTGTTGAGTTTGCTGCATTAATTGCTCACTTAACTTGCTGCTTTCCATTTTCAAATTATCATCATGTTCCAGGCACTTTCTGATAGAAGAACTATCATTTAATTGTGCTAAAGTTTTAGCAGAGCTTAAGTTGTTGACCATGGCCTGTTCGCTAACAGTTTCACCAAATCTATCTTTATTCCATGTTCTGTAGCGTTCACGCATATCTTTGTCTGTACTTTCGATGTCTTGTTTTTCAAAAGAGTTTCGATCACTTTTTTGTTTAAAAGCTATGTTTATTCCTGGTCCACTTGCTCCAATATGAGATGAACTATCCTCGTTGAATGAATTGGCTTCGTATCTAGAATTCTCACTAATCAAATCCTTGGATTTTGACTGGCTTGCAAAACTTGTGACAATCGCTGGTTTTTTGGTTGATGACAGTGCTTCCTGGTTTGTTTCCTCACCGATTTGGCAAAAATAATCAACGAGATGAGAACCAGAATCACTTCTTAATGGTTTAGGAGTTAAAGATGAATGAGCGTTATCACTAGATTTAAATGAGTTACGACGGTGGTGATGCAAAGTTGAACGATCAGGTTGATCGAAACCAGTTAGAGTTGATCTTTGTTGGTTAGATGCTAATGATGAGCATCCTGCTGCTGTCATTAAAACTTTTCTATCCGACGAGGAGGAGGAAGAAGTAGGAGTATAACTTGCAGCTGGATTTAACGATCGAGGGCCATTCGAACCATTTGAAACGGAATCGTAGGCAGCATCATAGTCATCCTTGAAATCCATTGCCGAAAAATATTTGGCCATATCTTCCTCCTCATCAGATTGAAAGGTCGAATTACGCCGGAAACTATGTATCCTTGATGAACTCGATTTTGATTGATTTGCTGTAGTTTCTTGTTCACCCCAACTAGTATGCTGAAGAGATTTCATTTTCATTTCAGATGGAGTGAGGCACGAAGTTTCTCTTAGCTGACTTCCATTAAGACTGGAACACTCTTCGTCAGACAAATCAAACTCCTCCTTTGTTCCAGGTCGACGAACACAGGGAGCCGGGCGAATTTCAAAAAGGTACAAAAGGTCAGCTAGAAACGCTAAAACATTAGGACGAATAGTTTGAGGAAGATAGAGAAAATCTTCAAGAGAAAGGAAGCATATATTGTAGGGTAATTTTTCTTGACAGAAAAATTGTACTAATTGAAGATTGTAAATGGAATCATTTAGCCAGGTTTGATCATTTTCGCTGGGGAAACAAATTTCGGTCCAACTTAAATGGTCAGGGCAATATAGACTAAGTAAAATGGCCAAACAACAACCATCACTAATATCTTGGAGATCTTCGATAAAAGGTATAGGAGGTAAAATCTGATTGACTGAATCTAGATTACTAAGCTCTTCACAAATTTTATGCCTCATTCGAAGACAAGCGTGATTTATCCAAAATATTGCTGCCTCTTCAGGATCCACAGGCATGTCTGAAGTTTCCACGGGATGGAAGCGACTCACAACTTCAAATATCTTCTCTGGTATCAAAACTTCTTTGATAAACAATGCCATAATAGCCTCAATGATCACCATATGAGCGCTCTGTAAATGAAAGTATAAATATGTCCAAATAAGGTATGACTCCTAATGTTTGGGACTAATTTTTCAAAATTGAATTGCGACAGTTGGACTAGACTTACAAGCATCATAGAAACGTCAAAATGAAGGTACACTTCTCAAAAATAAACCAATTTTAGCATCAAATGTCGCAATTTAATTTTGAAAATCAAACCAAAACATTAGGAGTCATACCTTATTAGGACAAAACAAAAGATATCAAAAGAAAATAGTAAGAAAATTTCAGTTAGAAAAGATTAAAATAAAACTAGAAAATTGAATTTACCATTCTTATGGGGCTTGTCTGGATGAGAATGGTTTCCGTCAAATCCGTATCATGCGGCTCTGTAACATAAATACCCTTTCGAATGAGTAGTTGTATAATTGAATGATGATTGAGACAGTGGTAATTTGGGTCCGCATAGATATTGGCAAGAGCCAAACAGTAAAGCTCCGCGTTTGCTAGTCCATGCACCACTTGAGGTTTTAGACGATATTGTTCCTCATAATCTTTGTAATAAGGGTTCCTTAATTCATTGGGTATATCTCCATTGTAAGCCTTTGAAAGTAGCCACAAAACAGGTGGTTTACTGGCACAAGGTATCTCCTGACTATTCGGGTTAGGGGTCGATGATGCCGAGGAGGCCATATCAGGAAAGAAAATCAGGTGGACAAGCTGTCTCTCAGGAACACAATACTATGAAAAAAACACTTATAAATCCAGTTAATCAATCAAAAAATGGAAATCACCGGAGCTAAGAAATTTGCATCCTTCTTCCATGAGTATAACTAAGAATTTACTCAATCTATATTCAATTCAATCTATCTGTTTATTTTTTTACGGGTGGAGCAAAACTACTGTTGTTATTTAATATTGTCACTAGATGGTGTAATAATCACTTTAGTTACTGAAAATGCGATTATCAATGCTATTGCAAGGTGAAGAAGCACATTTGTACAATTTCAGTGACTAATTTAAAAGTTAATTATTAATTTTTGTCAATTTAATTACTCTAAGTAATCAACTTTTGTTTTAAAAGTGTTTATTATCGATTTGATTCCTTTTTGTCTGTGAAATGAAAGAAAAGAACAATGAAGTACATCTTTCCGAGTCACTTAATGGATCTAACGGAGGTGAAGAACAGTTAGACGAAAAATCTGATATTTGCAGCAAAACATTAACAAAAACTTCGTCACCGGCATGCCAAGATTCGTTAAAGGATAATCAACTTGTATCAACTGAGAAAGATGAGAAAGAAAAAACCGGAGAGTCCAAATCAGATCAAGAATTCATTTTCATTCACGACACGTGCTTCAATGTTACCATCTCATCTCCCGGGAAGAAACCTTTCGATATTCAAGTAAATTTTATTTTAAATTAATATCAACCCATACTGAATTGTTTCAAATCTATTTTTAGGTCAGTCCGATGGAAATGGTGCAAGAAATTCATCATTTATTGATGGATAGAGAAGATACATGTCATCGTACTTGTTTTTCTTTGCAATTGGATGGCAATACTTTAGATAATTTTGCAGAGCTGAAAAATGTTGAAGGTCTGAAAGAAGGGTCGGTACTTGAAGTGGTTAAACAGCCATATACAGTTCGTGAAGCACGGATTCATATAAGACATATTCGGGACCTTCTCAAGTCACTAGACACAGCAGACGCATACAATGGATTAGAATGCAATTCTCTATCTTTCCTCAATATAATAGCTCAAGGAGATATATTCGGTATGACAATTCTTCAGTGCACAATGCACTCTATTCAAACTTGATTTTCTCCACTCATTCTCCCTTCAACCTGCTTTTCCTTCTCATCCTTATCTACCCCTCTACAAGAGAGGAGGGCCTTTTTATCACTAGATCTTAGCCCACTAACGAATCTTTTATTTATTACTATTTGCCATTTTGGCTTTCCAGAAAAGAAGAAAGGTGTTAGGCCTGATTCTGTCGATTGTACTCCTCCTGACTTTATCTTACCAGGCAATAAAGATCGACCATTGTTGGCCTTACAACCTCAAGCCAAGGAACAAAAAGTATGCTAGTTTAATGCACTAGTTTGGCCCATGCCTTAACCATGCGTAATTACAACATCTCTCTATCCCATCTTTAGGGTCCTCAAGCATTGAAGGTTATGACCACAAGTGGATGGAATCCTCCACCAGGATGGAGAAAACTTCAAGGAGATATTCTTTACCTTTATGTAGTCACACTAGAAGATAAGCGATACCACATAACAGCTTCAACTCATGGTTTTTTTGTTAACCAATCCACTGAGGAAGTTTTCAATCCAAAACCTGTTTCACCAAAAGTTATTTACCATTCATTAATAGACTTATTAGATCATCTCAGCCCTCTTTTTAAGAAAAATTTCATCCAAATTCAAAAAAAGAAACATCAGAAGCATTTATTCGAACGTGTAGCAACACCCTATCAAATGTATTCTTGGACCGCTCCATTCTTGGAACATACTGTAGATTATATTAGAGCTGAGGATGCATTTTCATCTAAACTTGGTTATGAAGAGCACATACCTGGTCAAACTCGAGATTGGAATGAAGAGTTACAGACAACGAGGGAGCTTCCCCGAAAAACACTGCCCGAAAGACTTTTACGTGAACGTGCCATATTCAAAGTTCACAGTGATTTTGTTGCTGCAGCTACCCGAGGGGCTATGGCCGTGATTGATGGCAATGTAATGGCAATAAATCCCGGTGAAGATCCTAAAATGCAAATGTTTATATGGAATAATATTTTCTTTAGTCTTGGATTTGATGTTCGTGATCATTATAAAGAACTCGGTGGTGATGCAGCAGCTTATGTTGCTCCTAATAACGATTTACAAGGAGTAAAAGCTTACAGTGCTGTCGATGTTGAAGGATTACACACTTTAGGCACTGTTGTGATAGATTATAGAGGCCATAGAGTTACTGCTCAAAGCATTATACCCGGTATTCTAGAACGTGAGCAAGAGCAATCTGTAGTTTATGGTTCAGTTGATTTCGGTAAAACTGTAGTTACTCATCCAAAGTATTTAGAGTTACTTGGTAAAGCCGGACAGGTACTAAAGATTGTACCACATAAAGTTCTTAATGAAAAAGACGAAGAAGTTGAAATATGTTCATCCGTGGAGTGTAAAGGAATAATTGGCAACGATGGTCGTCATTACATTCTTGATTTGCTCAGAACTTTTCCACCTGACGTTAACTTTTTCCCCTTGTCATTGGATGAGTATAGTGACGACGTAAAAAGCATGGGATATCCTAGAAGCCATCGGCATAAACTGTGTTGTCTGCGACAAGAGCTTGTCGACGCTTTTGTTGAGGCAAAGTATATGATGTTCATCAAATTGGCAGCTTATCATCTTCAGCAATCTGGTCTCAAGCGACTAAAGGAAAACGCTTCATATACTAATGGTGATGCAACGAACAATGAAGCTAGTGATGTTGATCAAGTCAAAAATGATGCCAAAGGTGATCAATTAAAATTACATAATGGAGAAGCTCACGATTTGAAAGTGGAAATCGAAATTGAAAAAGACGAGGATAAACAAAAATCTGAAAATTCGGACGACACTAAAAAGTTTAACGACATTAAAAAAATGGATATTTTTGATAAGGGTGATGAATTAACATCAACAACTCATTCTTCAAGCAAGTCAAAAAGTGATTTTGACAATCTTACACTTCCGTCCTCTCCTAGTGAGCAACTGAAGAACAGTACATCTTCAGCATCAAATGATTATCCATTAACCGAGGAAAATAATAATAAAACTTCCTCTGGAACGAATAATGAAGATATATCAAAAATTCTGGAGAATATTACCGCAGGAGGCGAAAAGAATGGCGAAGAGACAACCCAAGAGATCGTTTGTAAGGCAGCTAAAGCTGTCAAATCTCTTAAAGAGAATGAATTCGATATCAGATTCAACCCTGATGTATATTCACCAACTGTGAGACACGTTAGTGAAGAAGGTGATGAATTAAAAAACCAACGGCAACTAGTCAAAGATGCTGCCGAGTTCCTGCTCACTGTCCAGATCTCAACTTTCGTAAGTTTCAAGCTTCAACTGGATCTATGCAGAATCTTATTATTTTATTTATATTTTAGATACGAGATTGTTTGGAAAATACGACCGCACCTTTTGATGGGGTCACGTTAGCTGAAGCTTTACATGCAAGAGGTATAAATATTAGATATTTAGGAACTATATCAAAGAAATTAGAAAAATTTAATCAACTCCAGTACCTGCAGGTATGTTAAAATTAACTTACATCATTGTTTTTATCAAGAATCGTTCCACCGTTATAATTTGTAATTTCTTTCTTTCGCTAGACTATCGTTGTCACTGATCTTCTTTGTCGGTCAGCAAAGCACATTTATACAAGCTACCTGCAAGAAGTCGACATGATGAATGCAGCATCTGCCATTGCCCATTTCTTAAATTGTTTCCTATCATCATGCCAATCATATGCCAATAAAGAAGAAAAACCTGCCAAAAGAAAGGGAAAGAAGAGAGGAAATGGTCGTCAAAACTCTCTTCTCAGCCAGTATTCAAATGAATGGTCATCTTTGACACCGAAATCATTATTTGACAGTCTATTGACTGAGCTTGAATCCTATTATGGATGGGAAACTGAGGCGACCTCAATTGATCAATTAATAAGCCTGTTTAATTTACAAAAAGTGTCCATTCTTCGATCATTTTGCATGAAAACTGGCATTCAAATTTTACTTCGTGAATACAACATGGATTCTCGAAATAAATCTTCATTCACTGAGGATGATATTCTGAATGTTTTCCCAGTTGTAAAACATATTAATCCACGTGCTAGTGATGCTTACAATTTCTACACTACTGGGCAAACAAAGATCCAGCAAGGATATCTCAAAGAAGGATATGAGCTGATTAGTGAGGCTTTAAATTTGCTTAACAATGTTTATGGAGCAATGCATCCTGAAATCGCACAATGTTTACGAATGCTTGCTCGGTTAAACTATATTATGGGTGACCATAGTGAAGCAATGGCCTGTCAGCAAAAAGCTGTGTTGATGAGCGAAAAAGTTAACGGAGTTGATCATCCCTCTACAATCACTGAATATGTGAGTAAACATAATTTTGTGCTTTGTAATTGAAAACCATTCAACACTTAATCTCATATTTCTCTCTTTGTTTTCTCTTTTTTCTTTGTCTCTACAGTCAAACTTAGCTCTTTACTGTTTTGCTAACTCTCAGGTTACAATTGCACTAAAACTTTTATATCGTGCTCGTTACCTTTGTCTCCTTGTTTGTGGAGAAGATCATCCAGAAATAGCCATTTTAGATGTAAGTTTACTTTTATTTAAATCCAAAAAGTGATTTATTTTAATCAAATTTATCCTTTTAAATTTAGAGCAATATTGGATTAATATTACATTCAGTCGGAGAGTATGAACTATCATTGAGATTCTTGACTAATGCATTGGACCTAAATATCCGATTCTCGGGTAAAAAGAGTTTAAAAGTTGCCTTGAGCTATCATTTAGTAGCTCGAACTCAATCATGTATCGGTGACTTTAGAGGTGCTCTTCAAAATGAACGAGAAACATGGGCGATTTATAAACTTCAATTGGGTGATAATCATGAAAAAACTAAAGAAAGCTCTGAATGTTTACGACATTTGACTCAACAAGCTGTTTTATGGCAAAAGAGAATGAATGAAATTTACAAGGGAGATTCACCACCCATGATACCTCCAATTCAAATTCAGCCTCCATTCATCAGTTCAGTCCTCGAGACACTTAACATTATCAACGGGATCATCATCTTTGGAACTGTCAAACCTCAAACTTCATATTTTGACCAGGAAACTGATTAATTGTAGCGTTTAAAGAACCAGTTCAAATTTTTGCTCACCAAACGTGCTCCTAGTTAATTAATAAATTTGTATCTAGTTGATTAGTGATTGTTAAATAAAATTAGTATTTTGTTCATTAATTATTACATGTGTTGATCATTAATCATTGAATCCACTCAAGCTCCAACATCCAAACATCCTTTTCCTCTTTATTCATAATTTAAATCTCTCTCATTTCCACGGTGAATGATGCCGTTCCCGAGTGTAACTGTTTGGATTTGCTCTTCTTATTGAGTATTTTCCGTTTCGGATACCGGTATCTTCAACCATGTAACAACTTATTAAGCCACGCAAGTTGAGCGATGCAATGATGACTTTTAATAGAAGTAATAATCTGTAATTCATGTAATTAACTGATATCTTGACGGTGAGTAAATTTTAATTTGATTTTACCTGATGTTAAACCTCTGTTCAAATAAAGCATTGGTTTCTATGCGTTTAATTTGAAAACTCATTTTCCGCTCTTGATATATTTATCTACAGATTTTTTTACATTTAATTTATTCAACCTTTTCGCATGAAGATGTTTCAAAACGATTTCACTGCCTGTGGATGCCTTATATTGAGTTTTGTCCAGTTACTTGTGACACCCGTCATCTCTCAATACCAAGGAGGCTCTCACCATCATGCACAACAAGTTCCATATGGTCAACCAGCTCAAGTACAGCAAGCTCAACATTATGGCCAACCAGCACAGCCAGGGCAAAATTTATTACATGATAAAGCTAGAATACAAGACCGTGAACATATAAAAGAACATTTAGGTGGTATTATTGGTGACCCAGATTTAGGTAAAATGTCTGAGGAGGAATTGCAATTTCATTATTTCAAAATGCATGATAGTGATAATAACAACAAGCTTGATGGTAGCGAATTGATTAAATCTCTGATTCATTGGCATGGTAAGTTTGATCAGCATAAAAACTTAGCTACTACTCAACTGATTTTACATTCATGACTTCTTTGAAGTTAATTGAAATACTGATATAACAAATTAATTATTTGATCTCTTCCGTAGTTGAAGAACATAAACATCTTGGTCAAAATGCCCCGCCTGGTGGCACGACAAAAATTTTTACAGATGCTGAACTTTCCAATATGATTGATCCTATTTTACAAATTGATGACCGTAATATGGACGGTTTCATTGATTATCCAGAATTTGTGTTGGCTCAAAAAGGTCGAGGGCTTTAGTTAATTTTTTGTTAATCTTTGAGTATTACATGTATTAAAAACTCAATTTTTATCTGTTTAACTTTCTATTTCGTTTCGTGTTTCGATTTCATAATATTATTTATTATTATCTTATTATATTTATTAGAAACGCGTTAATTTCATCTTTAAAACAGGTCTAAATTTTTGAATTATATTTACATCAAGTGATCTAATCGCGCCATCTAATGATTCTATCAAACTAATGAATCCAGTTGTTAAATAAAATCAATATTTTAATCATTAATCATTTACAAGTTAGATAAAATTATTTTTGAAAAATTGCAACAATTGATTAGTTGAGTCTTTTGATTTTGCTGTATCTTTAGTTCTCATTTCAAGACAAATAAAACCTTCTTCAGTCTTCTTAATAATAAGAGAACAGTGGAGCAAATATAATTCCTCTTCTTTGACGATTGATTTAACTTGTCTTTGATCTCGAATCTTCTTTGAATCATCTATGCTAAATTCTTCATCTATTGAATCGTCTGCTTTTCTCTTTCCAAATCTATTATTGTCTTCAATCTCGCAAACTTCAGCTGAATCATACAATGAGTCGTCAATCTGCGAAACTGCTCCTTGAGGGCTTCCGACGGTATTATCATCTAACTCCATTTCTTCTTCCTTAAGTCCACTTTTGGTTTTCTTCATTTTTGACTGTTTTTGTTTCTTTCGCTAACATACGTTTACGTCTTCTCTGGTGACTCCATGTGTCTCTTTGACTACGAATAGTCATTTCAACAGAATGATTACTTTCTCGAATGATATCAACAGTAGTAATTTCCAACTCATCTCTAAGTAAATGTCTGATCCAACGATAAATACTTGACAAACTGTAGTTGATTGTAGTTAAATTTTTAGGGATTGTATAAGTGAGAGGTGCAATTTTCTTTTTGTTCAGTCGCCTGGTCTCTGTAATTTTGATAGATTCAGAAAGTTTGAGATTCTCCAAGAAAGTCCATGCTAATCCCCATCTCATCGTTCTTCCCTGGAAGAATTGGTTAACAACAACATCTTTAACATCAGATATATTTTTCAGATGCTGACTTAAAATAGAAGAGCTTTTCTTATGCCCTAACATCACCGTATAAATTTTAATTGATTCTTTCAGTATTAAACTATCTTCGATAATTTTTTTCACAAAATCTACTTCTCCACCAGAGGTTACGCTTTCTAGTGGTGACGATAAATTTGCTGGGGATGGTTTCCTTTTTCGCAAACTCTTTGAAGAACCTTCATCAGAGCCCAATTCTTCGTCCCCACTTTCGCTACCAAGCGAGCAATCGTCGTGTGTACGATCATTGAAGAAGGGTGGATTACACATTAAGAAGTGAGCTTCAAGCTGAGGAATACCGGGAAGATGAAGTAGAAATATTTCAGGTGTAACTTTGATAACTGTAAAAGGATAAGACTTGTTAACTTCAAACATTATGCAGCATGAAATTCTTACCTTTAATTCTGTGGGAAAGCTGATTGGTCAGAATATTTTCAACAGCAAATTTATAAGATACTTCATCAGCCTCAGTGGCAATGAATGTCCATGACTTATTTGTAGTACAGCCAAGTAATGGGAATATGCAACAAGCACCAGTTCCGATATCTATTCCGTTCACATTTTCATTTGGATTCAAATCTAACAAGCTTAGTAAATCTTCAACCCAAAGTACATAATTGAGTCTTTGTGGTACAGCTGGAATCAGGCGATCGATAGGTAGATCAACTTTAAGGCTAAAATCATTGTCGAGTAAAGTGATTGTCAGAAGCCTCAAGGCTTGAGGATCAGTAAAATTTAATTTAGCTTTTCCATTCTTGTAGAAAGTCAACAATTCTTTGAATGATGGGTATTTCTCACCTAATTGTAAATAATTAGGCTTAACACGATAAATATTCCTTGGGTGCATCAATTGGTTGAAAGACATTTTTGATTAAAGCAATGGAGATAAAATTTTAACAAAGATTATTGTCGGACACAAGAATTGGAACAAAACCAATTATAGTTTATATAATTGTATAATAAATGACAATAAAGGTCAATAAAGTTTACATAATTTTAAAATTGTATCGATCTAAAACTATTAAATGTTTACAGCTGAACAACCATCTCTTAAAAAAAGCGCTTAATAAGACAAGAAAAACAGTGTTTCCTTGGTAACTCACACTGAACAACGCAAACTTTATTTCGGAAATAGGTGGCGTTTGCATCAACAGTAATTTTAGTGTGTGCAAGTGATCATTCTAATTTAGTTTAATTTAATTTTTGTAAATTTAATCTGGTTTAATTTCGTAATCTATCATGGGTAGAGTAATTAGAAGCCAGAGGAAAGGAGCTGGAAGTGTTTTTAAAAGCCACTCTAAACACAGGAAAGGAGCTCCGAAATTAAGGTCTATCGATTTTGCCGAGAGACGTGGTTTCATTAAAGGAGTTGTTAAGGTAAGTTTTCTAATTCTCATGTTCCACTTGGTTTTTGATCGGTCTTATTGATCATTTTGATTTTCTTTGTAGGAAATTATCCATGACCCTGGTCGTGGTGCACCACTTGCAGTGGTCGACTTCAAAGACCCTTATAAATATAAGCGACGGAAAGAGCTCTTCTTAGCAGTAGAAGGGATGTACACAGGGCAGTACGTTTATTGTGGACGACGAGCTGTCCTCCAAATTGGTAATGTTTTACCCGTCGGTGAAATGCCTGAAGGTACAGTTATCTGCAACGTTGAAGAAAAAACTGGTGATCGAGGTAAATTGGTAAGAGCTTCAGGTGATTATGCCACAGTTATCTCCCAAAACCCAGATTTGAAAAAGACCCGAATTAAGCTTCCATCTGGAGCTAAGAAAGTTATTCCATCTACTAACCGAGCAATGGTTGGTGTCATTGCTGGAGGTGGTCGAATTGACAAACCTATTCTTAAAGCCGGTCGTGCTTATCATAAATACAAGGCAAAGCGTAACTGCTGGCCTAAAGTTCGTGGTGTTGCCATGAACCCAGTAGAACATCCTCATGGTGGTGGTAACCATCAACACATTGGTAAAGCATCTACTGTTAGACGAGACGCTTCAGCTGGTCGAAAAGTTGGTCTTATTGCTGCTAGACGAACTGGTAGAATCAGAGGAGGAAAGAAGAACTTAGGAAAGGAAGATAAATAGACTTGTTAAGATCTTGGAAGGTTAATCTAAAATTTCAAGTAAATTAAATACAATAAACAAATTGTTTATAAATTGCCGTTTCTTTTTATTCGTTTGTTGTTCGTAATGTATTTTAGTCAACTTTAATACTGATTTCATTCTATTACTCAATTTTTCTTTGAAATGTGACTTCGAGTTCTATGAATTTTTCACCAAGTAATAACTGGTTGGTCGTCAAACTATCAACTCGGTTAAATTGGTAACTAATGATTCATTTAATGTGTTTTAAAAAATCAAATTATCATGAGTCAGGTGTTTTGTGGTTTTAAGCACTTTTTATTAACGCTTAATTTTACATCAGATCTTGTCTCAATCATTTGAGTGACTAGTATTTTAGATTGCGATTAATTGATGGCCTTATATTAGATTGTATTCAGATAAACTCGATTTAATTGAGTTTGTTATAGAACAGTAATAATCTTTCTCAAAATTGATTGTTTCAATTAATAATTGAGCTTCTTTCAAATTTTCGGCAATCAGATTTTTTGTTTCAATGAACATATCATGAAATTCTATTTCATTTACTTTATCCCTTTTGGCACACCAAATAAGAAAGTTACGTTGCCGGTCAATGAAATTGAAGAAACCGTTTATCCGTGATTTTTGAAAAATGTGATGAGCTTCATTCAAACAATTGAAAGCTATTTGAGCATAAAATAAAGAGAGTTTGTACTTTCTCATTTTCTTATAACAATATGAGAGACGATCGCAAATATCAGACAAATTGTGGTTGGTTGGATAGCAAATTTTCGCTAATTTACGATAACAGTCCAACAGATAGTCTTCTGCTTTTAAAATATTACGTTCACGATTGATTAACGCTAAATTGGCTTGTCGATAGTTGTAAAGACAGGAGTCAAGCTCTGTTAAAACTTCATTCCGATCTAAAACATCGATACCATTACATTCAAGACAGCGAACTTCATCTTCAATAATAACAGGACCGGAACAAGTTGGACAAAGAAAAGCTTTCGATTTTGGCTGGATTTCGTTGACACAAGCATCACAATTACACTCGAGACCATATTGAGAAAGATATGCCCGACGCTCTTTCACAGTAGAAAGTCTACAATTGACACCTATATCCAATTTGATAGGTTCTCCAGGTTCAATTTTTTTAATAGCTCTTAAAGTTATTGTTTGACCATTAAATATGTCAATGGCTACATTTGGATCACAATGATGTTTCAGTTTTTTAACGCGGTTATAAATAGCGAAGCCAATCACTTTATCATCCAAGTATCTGAATTCAGATTCATCTATTGGCTTAAGCAATTCTGTTGAAGTTATTTTGCGTCCATCACGTTCAACACATCTTAAAAACATCAGCAACAAGCCTCCAAAAAGTTCTATGTCGTATCTCCAAGGAACTGACTCATTCTTGGCTGGCAATCTCTTAATGACCGTAAAATATGTTAATAGATGAGCTGCTGTCTCGGCCATTTTTTCCAATTGATCAGGATCATTTATTGTAGGAGAAACATCGTCTAGAGTTTCAGGCAATTCGCCATCTCGGGCTGAGGCAAAAATGGTCGGAAAGTCCAGTTGAAGTACTAACTGACAAGCCAATAGTGGTGGCACTTTGAAAAACTCTCTGTTTATGAGATGGTCAAAAAGTGTTAAGAAAAGACAAAAATTATGATGACCATTTTCCCAAGCTTCCACAGAGCAAGCAAAGCTACAAAATTTCACCTGATTACAACCTCGACAGGGCATTATCATATCAAATTGGGCAAAGCAGTTGAAACAACGAGTGAAGTAAAAATCTTTTTTCAGAAGCGATAATATCGGGCTTTCTCTGATTACCAGATCTAATTCATTAAACTGTCGGGAGGATAGACAAGTTGATCCATTTTTCCATGTGATATTCGCTTCATCTTTTAGCTCAACCTTTTCATCCTCTTCTTTAGGTAAATGATTGATACATTCACTGCGGCGATGATTAAGTTTCTTTTTCAATAGCTCAGTTTGAGCATGCATTAGAGCTAAATCAATATCTTTCAACGCTTCACTATAGCGTTTTAACTTGATAAGGCACATTGAACGATTTGAGAAAGCCAAAGCCAGCTCTGAATTCATGTCTTCAGGAGCTCTAGATTCCCAAGAAGCGACAGCAACAGCCTGGATAAAAAAGATTCTAAGTGATTAAAAATTAAGGATGATTGCAACAATCTTACATCATTATATTCCCTTAAAGCTTGCTTGAAAAGATCTTTTTTGTAGTAATCATTCCCACTTTTCCGGTACCTTTCAGCTCGTTCATCTGATTTCATGAAGATTTCATTGGGCAATTTAAGGAATCCGTCTGTAACATTTTCTCTGTAAAAGTTTGATATAAAATCAGCAAATTAATATGAGTAAAATAAGGAACAATTTATTAAAGATTATGAGAGATCGTATCATATTGAAAGGTATGAGTATTTTCAACAGATGAGTTCATATTATCAAACAAAATAAATTTAGTTGAGGAATGATATTTAGCGACTACTTTTTTATTTTTTATTTCATTTGAATCAGAAATAGATAGGTATAATGAATTATGAACGAAACACTACTTACCTAAATTTCTCATTAGTATAATATTTATGGACTAATTGCATGTGTTGCTTCAACCAAGGATGGATGTTGTCAGAAAAAGTACACTCAGTGTTTTGATTAGAGTTTGTTGAATCCATGAGGGATTCAACTAAAGAAGAAAGTTCAAGCATAGTTTGTAGAGTTACAAAATCAGGTGATAAAATTAATAAAATTAATACAAATTATTTGATTAAAAACAAACTAAAAAAAAGAGCAAAGAAAAGATTCCCATTTGCAAGTTGCAACCAAAACATTGAAATGCGATAGCTGTGAAAGTAACAAATGAGGCCTATTTTTAGAGCTAACAGTGAATTCAACTCAAATCAGTATTTTTGAAAAACTATTTTAAAAAGCATGTTTACATTAAAGGAAATGTTGATTCCTAGCTGTCAATAATGATAAAAAACTTTTTTATTATCAAAAAACATATTAACTTACAATCCCAGCAATAATTTCTTGGAGAATATTAACTAAAGTATTTCCTTGTAACTTTTAAATAATGTTTTATCCTTCTTTTAAAAATTGAATCATCTTTGGTCAGCAAGTCTAGTTATATTCAGTCTCAATTTTATTTTTTCAGCTGCTGTAGGTTCCTTTTTGGGTTGTAAATTATATCGTTTATTTTCGTCAAGTAATGACTAATTGATAACTAATGATTCAGTTTTTTTGTGTTACAGAAAATATCATTAATTCATGAATTGGGTTCAAAAGAAAATAAATAACGTTACTGTTTCTAAACCATTTCTGTCTTGTCAATTGTTTACATAATTCAAATTTATTCTCATCATTGGAAGTTTTATTTAAATAATTTGGTGATAAAAAATTTCTGTAAAAATATAACGAAAATTGGAAATTTAACTGAATAGTGTTCATTTCATGTAATTGGTAAGTATTACTGAAAATACAGGTAAAAATTAAAAAATGCTAATGGAAATAAAAGCCTTTAATGGTTTGGAATAATCAAAACTAAATTTAAATTCACGATATCACTGTTAACTTTTTCAGGTAGTCTGAAATATGCAGCCTGTGTATGTTACCTAAGTGTTATTTGGGTTTCCAATCATTGAAGTGCGATTGCAGATGAAATCAATTGTGATTGTAAATCATAAATTTGTAACAATGAAATGTAACAGAAATTTTCGATGTTCTAGACTCATATTGATTTGAAAAATCACGTTAACTTGAATTTTGCAAAGATTCCATGAAAGGTGCCAGCTAAGTAAAGAAAAGAAAAGAAATTACAAATTTGATTTCTTCTGAGTGTTTCACCGTAATAATTACACTGAATTTTACCTCAGTAAACCAAAATGACCCTGGCCTGAATTGAGCTTTCTTTATGAATGACATGTTCGAAACAGGAGATATGAGATGGAGATGAAGATGACTGATAGAGTTGAATGGAGGTTTGTGAAATCCTAGCCTGAAATAAAAATAATAGCAATAACATTAATGATAGCTTGAAGCAAAACAGTGGGAAGGATTTACTTTACCTTGTATCATTTGAATCAAGCGCATTTTCTCGGATCAGGTTTATAGCGATGTCTTTCATACGTTCAACTGTAAAATAAATTCAATACGTGAATGTTATTACCACAGTTCAGATTATTACTCACTTATAGGTAAATCATCTGTAGTTAGCGATTTTATATCTTTGATATGCCTTTTAGGAATAATCAAAATATGGGTATCACTAGCAGGATAAATATCTTTAAAAGCAAGGTAAGCATCATCCTGGAAAACATCAAAAGAATCAATGCAGCTAATGTAACGAAAATTATAATTGTAAATAAACTTACCTCATATTTGATTGTAGCTTCAGCTTTTCTGGAAACAATGGAACAGAAAATGCAGTTATTAATAACTGGATTTATATTTCTGGCCATACCTGGCAACGAAAAAATAACGATAATTTCAATAAAAACCAATGGAATAATTGAAATAAAATGTACAATGTGGTTAAACATTCAAAACAATATTCACCCACCAATTGAATGAATGAACTGTAGTCCTGATAAAAAACTGAAGTCAGCTGATTAGTAACTCAGTACAATTAGCGTTTGTTATGATTTTCAGTAGATAATTGATAGTTGATTAAAACTTATTCAAAATAAAAGAACAGTGAAACAAGTTTTATCTTTGGTTTTATTTAAATTCAAAACACATGTAAAAACAAAGATAAAACGGTAAAATTTTGTCAGAAAACGGGTTTTAAAGCTTCTTTATAAAAAGGCATTTAAGAAGAAGGACAATTAACAATTTTGATTAATTTAAACAATAAATAAATCATGACAATCATCACGTGAAAATCAATTTAAAGAAAACAAAATCTCAGAAGTAAACATATGAAGTAATATCATCATCTGGTGAGTTAAATGTAAACTTCAAATTTGACGGATTTTCTTGTTGTCTTGGTGATATCTATCATCTTGTTGAGCTATGCTAAGCAAGACTTGCTAAGCATCAGTCTTTATCGAGTTGTTATCTTTTTTTGAGTTATACACATATCAATCATGTCTTGATCATCTAAACTTATCTTTTTGATTAGATTTGAAAGTTTATATCATTCCATCGAGAACAAATTGTACCAACGATGAGTTCGTTTTTAAGGACGGGTAACAGGTTAACCGGAAATTATACGCAAGTACCATCATCTGCATCATCATATTCAGCACCATCATCAACTTCACCTGCAACTAAAAAAGATTCTAAAGATAATTCTTCTGGCAACTCAACACCTCTGGTAACTCGTAAGGCTCGCAGACGATCCAACCTATTCCCACCGTTTACAAATAATAAGAATAAAGCCTTAGAAGAGAAGATGAAAAATGGTGAACTCGGTATTGGTCGTGAAATCCCAGTTAAACAAGGTTTCCTGTATAAAAAGAGTAAAAAAGCATTGAATAAAGATTGGAAAAAGAAATGGGTTACAATTAAAGATGGTTACCTAACTTATCATTCTACACTTCAAGATTACCAAAGCGAAGCTCAAGGAAAAAGTATACCTCTAAAACACACAACAGTCAAAATTCCAGGACAAAAGCCGAGAGGATCCAGACCAACTCAAGGAAGTAGTGGACCATCAAGTTTGGTAGAATCTGCTGCCAGTGATTTAGAAAACGATCTCAACAATTTACATCTTTGTTCAGGTAACAGTTGGATTAGCTTTTTTATCTTATTCGACTTAATTTTAGCTTCAATTAATTTGCTATAACCTACATCAATAATCACTACATTTGCTACTATATTTCTCTTTTTTTGTTATTTAAACAAATGGTCTGGTTGAATTGCCACCATTTTATGCACATCATTTTAATTGTCTGAGTTACATTTTGAGAAACAAGTGTTATCCATTTCTATAATGACACCTATTTTTCTTTTTCCTTTTCATTCTGCTCTTGTTACTGTTTCATTTTAATAGCTATTGAAAACGATAGACACACTTTAGGTCCCAACTCTGTTTTCGGGAAAGAATCTAGTCACCAGAAAAAACGTCATCGTCGAAGTAAAAGCAACAATAAGCAATATGGTGATGGTGTTGATGATTCTGATACCTATGAATTTATCATTGTTTCCCTTGACAATAAACAATGGCATTTTGAAGCATCAAGCTGTGATGAAAGAGAAGAATGGGTTACCAAAATCGAGGAAGAAATTTTAAACAGTTTACAGGAAATGGAAAGTGACAAATCAAAATATCGTATTAGTGGAATCATCGATCGAGCCTCGGTACAAACAATACGTGAAGTTGCCGGAAATTCCCATTGCGTTGATTGCAATAAACCAAGTATGATGATAAAATCAACCTTGTTTATTTTGCTTCGTCAGTGATTCGTAAAACTGTTCGTTCAATTTTCTTTTTGTTTACTAATCATCTTTTTTTTACTATCTTTCAATCAATCATAATTCACTGAATTAGATCCCGATTGGACTAGTTTCAATTTAGGCGCATTAATTTGTATCGAATGTTCTGGTGTTCACCGTAATCTTGGAACTCATATATCTCGTGTTCGCTCATTAGATTTAGATGATTGGCCGTAAGTGATTTCAAATGTAGCAAAAAAAACATTGAATTATTTTTGATGATTTATCTTTTTTTTTGATTAATTTCAGACCTGGTCATGTGAGTGTAATGAAAGCTCTTGGCAACTCAGTCACAAACAGTATTTACGAGTTTAACATCAAAGGATTAACTAAACCAATACCATCTTCATCCAGAGATGAGAAAGAAAAATGGATAAGAAGTAAATATGAAAAGAAAGAATTTCTCGCACCATTAGATTCATTACTTCCGATTGGACATCAACTTATGGAATGTATTTCTAGTGGAAATGTACCCAGTGTGGCTAAAGTTTTGGCTCACTTATCCTCTCCAGACCAGATAAACTCATCAGTACGTTCAGCGGATGGCAAATATCCATTACATATTGCTGCATCCATAGGATCTCTTGCAATCGTTCAGTTACTTATTTGGGTTAGTTTATTTCTATAAACTGGAATCATTTGCTAGCATGTATATGAATGTGACCATTAATAATTAAGACTTCCTTTTGATTACTAAATGTTTTCAATCTATTCTCTCTCTCTTTACAATATTAACATTTTTCTATTGCTTAGAACAACGCTAAAGTTGATGTTATTGACCGTTATGGACAAACAGCTTTACAGTATGCCATGATAAATGGCCATAAAGATATTGCAGACCTTCTCATTCAACATGGGTGTTCACCATTAACAGGTACAACTGGAATAATCAATGGGTCACACATTAGAAGACGTCCGAGGGTAACCTCCATGGCATCTTTAGCTATGGATGTGTTTGATAAACTTCCTGCTAGTATTATTTGATTTTTGTGTATATAATTGTATGTAATAGTTGAATTTTTACTGCAGTAAAGAACTATTATTGTCAACAATTCCAATTTAATTTTCATGTTGGCCTTGAAAGGCTAAAATTTCAATCAAATTGGAGCTCAGAAAAGAGCTAAAAAAGGTTCATCCATCGTTAATACAAGCATATATAATTAAAAATAAATAAATTTGTTATATTTTTTGAATATTGAAGGTTTGTTATGTGATTAATGGTTGTTAATACGGTGAATAAATCGAAATGAAAGTTTATTTTCAATCTCAATCAAATTAAAATTAAACAAAAAGATCGAAATGTGTTGAACGGAAAATATTAGTTATGGATACTTTAATTGAATAAGAATGATGAGAACGAGACAGTAATTATCTTCGCCAACTAATATCAACGCTCAATTAACCTTCCATCTATTTTGCTCGGTTAACAGTTATTATTCTCATTTAGACATTGGTTTGGTTGGATAACTGTAGATAACTTTAATCTATCTTATACCTGTTATATCAGTATAACATTTGCAATGAAGAGATTTACTCAACTCTTTGAAAATTGTTTCATCAAAAGATATTCCATTCCAAAACAATGATCATCTAATGTTATCATATACCTGCAAAATTAACATATTTTAACCCAGCTTTAGTTGAATACATTTTAAGATTTTACATACAATAATGAACAATTGAGATATGATTGGAAAGTATTAGTAGCCCTTATTTGCACCTAATCGCTATTAGATTTAATAATTTTACAGCCCTATGGTAATATAAAAATAATCAACTAGTTGAGCAAACTCAGGTTTTGTTTTTTGTTGCTTTTTATTTACTCATCACTCGTCAGCTTTTACAACGTAAACAATCAAAAGCTTCTCTCTGTGTTACCTTCCCCTTGCTATTTTCTGTCTCACTCATTCTTCTATCATATTGGCTCCATTATTTTGTATCTTATTTTTGTGTCCAACTAACTGTATTGACCGCAATAATTAACCATCCACCGATCCAATTTCATCATCATCTTCACCATTAAAGTCACCATCATTCATATCATAGTTACAAATCCATTATGGCTGCTCTACTCCAGACTTTGAGTGGTAATCCATTACAAACACCAATTGGGCAAAAAATAGGTAACTTATTGACATCATATTTAATCAACACACAGTATTGACAGTTGTAAATACTTGTCTAATCAATTGTTGATCAATTAACATGGTTAAAATGTTGACAGTTTGGTCACTAGCTTATGGGCTATGTTTGTAAATAAGTTGCTTGAAAAAGAGAGAGATAGAGCCTAAGCAATCAGTTGTGGTTTCAGTCATTGAAATGTAAAATACTGCCTACATTGTACCTTAATCATCTTTTTTTTCGATTTTTAATCATTCTTATTATATCACAGAGCAAGCAACTGAACCTTCTTTGCCCTCTGAGGATTGGGCTTCATTTATGGAAATATGTGATATGATCAATGATACCGATGAAGGGTAAATAAGATTTCTCATATTAACAAACCTCTACAGTTTCAAGTATTCTTCCTTGTGTCAACCCATTTTCACTCTTTAATTATTACATTATCTTGTTGATAGCCTTGACAATTCAATCAACATTTATCATATATTCTCCATTTCTGTCCCCTCTAAATTATCACTATTAGACCAAAAGATGCAGCAAGAGCAATCAAAAGACGTCTTCAGCAAAATGCTGGTAAAAACCATGTTGCTGTTATGTACACATTAACGGTGTGTATCTCAATGCTATTTTTTTAACAAATCTATATTTGATATAATTATATAATTTACTCATCAGTTTATGTTTTGACTAATCAATTTTCAATTTGTTGCTCTAGCTGTTGGAAACTTGTGTCAAAAATTGTGGTAAAAGATTTCACACATTAGTCACCAGCAAGGATTTTGTTCAAGATTTGGTTAAATTGATTGGCCCAAAAAATGATCCACCGCCGGTTCTCCAAGAAAAGGTTAGTTAATAAGTTTAATATAAATAGCTAATTAATAAACTTTCAGTCAGTTTCCATTTTACCTTCCATTACAACATCATCATTTTATCACAGTTGATTTAAGCCAATTTAGGTTGTTGTTATCTTTTTTTTTGCTGAAAATTCTTGTTAACTGATCCGGACAATTGATTTCAAACGTTATTTGAATCAACAAAAAAAAAATGACAGAACAGCTCACGATAACCTGTAAATCTTACCTTTTTATCCTTTAGAAACATGCTTCCTCTCGCCATTATGTTGGCCTTATCTTTTTCTATCGGTGATAAAATTTTTATGTACCGCTCTTTGCATCTCTTAAACAATACTTGACTTTTACACCTTTTCCGTTCTTGATTTCTTACAATTTGGTTTGTTTCCCATTTGATCTATTTTCATAATTCACTTTTACTTACATTTATATAACAATTCAAAATAGTCCAAACAAGTAACTTACTCTATTTTTCTTTTCTCATTTTTTTCACTGATTACAGGTTTTAAATCTTATTCAAACTTGGTCTTTAGCATTTCGAGGACAACCAGAATGCTCCGGAGTTGTTCAAGTGTATATCGAATTGATGGCAAAAAAAGTTGAATTTCCAGTAACTGATCTTGATTCAACTGCACCAATCCATACACCTCAACGAAGTGTACCACCGTATCAACGTAAAGCAACCAACGAATCAATTGCAACAAGTGGATCACCCACTAATACTTCAAGCAACCCTATTTCAACATTAAATCGTTCTCTACCAACTAACATCATCCCAGGTTCATCTTCACCTTCATCATCACCCATTACCTCAGCTACAGTCGCTGCTACCGGAGCTTCGCCTGTTTCCTCATTCCATACAATGTCAACTGGACAAGTATCTCAAAGTCCTGATCAGTTAGTTAAGCTGAAGAATGAATTAGATGTTGTCCAAGGAAATGTTAAAGTCTTCCATGAGATGCTCAATGAGCTGGTTCCAGGAAAAGAGCATCCTGATGATTGGAGTCTACTTTGTGATTTAAATGCTACTTGTCAAGCCATGCAGAAAAGGATTGTTGAGTTAATCGAGAAAGTTGCAAATGAGGAAGTGACCAATGAGCTATTAAGAATCAACGATGATCTTAACAATGTGTTTGAAAGATACGAAAGATATGAAAGAAAAAGGACCAATACTTCAACTTCAGTACCAACTGCAGCACCAACTTCAAACGCTAACATACTATTATCTCCTGTACCTCCAACTTTATCAAAATCTAAAGCTTCAGAACCAAGTTTGATTGATTTGAGTGTTGATGAACCTATCCCAGTAGATGTATTATCAAAAGGAGTTCAAGGAATATCATTAAATAAAAATTTGAAGGTATTTATAATAATCAATCATTACGTATTTTTAAATTTACCGATTATAAACAGTTAATTAATAAAGTTACCCTAATTTTTAGTCAAACAATGGATTGGAAGAATCTGTTTCTGTTGGTGATGCCGATTTTGATTCCTTTGCTCAGTCGAGAACGTCAATTGGACGAACTGAGCCCAAAACTGTCGAACCATCAGGATTAGATTCTCTCGAAGAAGCTATTCGATCTGGTAATCCTTCAGGAGGACTTCCTGACTCTTTGAATAGTGACGGAAAATCTCTTATGGTAATATTTCTTATCTGCGAAAGAAAGCCTTATTTATTAGATCGATCATCAAGAAACCTTTACTTTGATTTTTAACATTATTGATTGATATTTTTTAATCTTTTTCAGTTAGATAGCGTGAGAGATTTGGTCGAAATGGAGAATTGGTTACGTGATCAAAACGCAGCTCCTAATGCATCTGCATTCTCGACATCAGCATCAACAGTTCCAAAAGGAGGTGATTTTAATTTTGAGAAATTTCTAACTGAAAGAGCCGATGCAAGAGACAAAATGCCTAAATAATTAAATTCATCCCCGTGATCAACTCCTCAACCAAAGTGAACATTTCTAATAATTCACTTTATATCGTTCTTACGAAAATGTTTTCTTTCATCGTGATCTTACTGTTGGTGTCCCAATTGTCCTAATAACAATTTGAGTGAGCCATCGCCATTACCTAAATGATAAATTCATCGAATCAATTTGAACTACCGTTTAAATCATCTTTGCTTTTCTGTTAAAAAACTGATAGCAATGGAATAATTTGTAATCAATTTTTGGCTATATTGTCCCCATCCATTTTATGGGCCCATTAAGATTTCACAGAGTGTAAAAAATTATCAGCTAAACAAGCGTCAATCAATATTCCTGACAAAATATATAAAAAAATGATCTTCTCTTTTCCTTTCGGAGAGTTTAATACAAATAAATTTAAATAAGCGATCAATTATTTGATACGTTCATTTTGTAATTTAATAATGTTGTTGCACTAATTGTGGCATTGGTTACAAAATGAGCAAATTATCTTGCTAAATTTAAAAATAACTCTTTGAAAGAAAAGAAAAGACACTGAAATGTAAAACTTTTATTCGTGATAAACATTTAATGTTGCTCGTTAAATCTGAAAATAATCACAGAAATCTAATCATTTTTTGCTTCATTTTGAAATAAAACAATAGCAATTTAAAATGACTTAAACTCTGCTAATTGTGGGTAGAATTCCAGAACAATGAACTGACAGTTTCGATATCAGATTTCAAGTTACATATACATGTATATTTTAAAAAATTGTCATTTTTGCGGTTTCAGGTGAAATTAAGGTGAATCTAAAGAACAAAACAAGTTGAACAGGTTTGAATGCTAGAAAACTGTTTAAATTGAAAATACATACTGTTTGTGCATAGAAAACGTTAAAATTTAATCGCGTCTGATCTCGTCTAATATGTTTTTAGAAATTAACTCGATTACATTTGGTTTGAGGAAACATTTGATGATACTTTTGGCTGGATGCTCGATTGTTTGTTGTCCAATTTTGTTTTCACAATCTTGTTTATTATGTATCGATTTAACATCAACATCAGGAAAATATTTAGCCATTAATTGGTTATAATCAATTTCCTGCACTGGCTCACAATTTTCAGGAATATAATCAATCCAGCGGTCAATCTTGGAACATAAATTGGATTGATTTGAAGATAGCTTTCCGATTAAACTGATAATCATTGAAGGATCATTCAACAAACTGTCATCAGTGCTGTCGTTAAGCCAATTTTCATCGTCCGGTTGATAAAATGGGAAGAGCGTATTGATTAAAAGACTCGTTACTCCTTCACACAAAGAATCAAAGGTGTTGTCAGTTGGTAGCCATTGATTAATGGAAATACATAGACCATCAGGCTGATCATCATAACATTTGACATAATGCCACCAATGATGTGGGACATAAAGCACGTCTCCGGGTTCAAGTATCACACTGTAAGGATGAGCTTCTCGAAATTTTGGAAATAAATTGAAATCAGGACGACAGAGGTTTACCTCGCTAAATACACTCGATTCTTCAAAGGGTATACGAGTTGGGTATAAATTAACAGCATCACTGGGCGGGAAAAGTATCCAAAGTTTTCTGTGAGATAAGAAAATTAGAAATGGTTCGAATTTCAATAAGAGGTGATGTTATCTTACTTTCCGACAATTTGGGTAACAATATTATAACCATAGGTATCATAATGGCAAGGAGTAGCCGCTCCCGTAGAACCAATCCAGAGAGTACTTGATGATCCATCCTTTCCCAGATGAGACCCGAAATCAATTGATGACCACGAGATAGATTCAATCAAAGCTTTGGATGATTCATAAGGGAGTTTGGCTAAGTGATTATAAGAGCTGTAAGCCCAAAAATTTGCAGGATCAAAATCGGCAAACGAATTGTTGGGTTGAGTTATTTTGTTGTTCCTCCAATCGAGAAATTGATCGAGAGTAGCATCAATTCTGGTGATAGCCTCATTTTCCCATGGAATTTGCTGAGAATCTTTATCATGTATCCTGAAATTTAGCTGCAAATCTGCACAGTTGCGAAGCCAATCTTTTGTTTTCCACTGATAGCAAGGCCAATTAGTCACTTTGCTGTTACGAAGAATCAAAGGTTCATTATATTTGATCGGTTTGAAGGTTGATGATGGTTGATCCGACATTTTCTGTAAAGATTGAATATTATCTTATGGTTAAACTATTAATCTTGATTGGTCTTGATTTCAATCAGGTGGCACTCAATCAAAATACTGATTTAAATTGGATTAATTAAGTGTTTACTTTTTGTAATAAGTAAACAGGCCCTTTTAAAACAGCTGTTTCATATGATGAAATTTTCGAGTTTATTGTAGCTCATGTTACAGTAATGTTTTTAATCTTTAGACTATAAATTATTGTTGATTTCTATCTAATTAATTGTAAAAAATATCTGGTTAAGATGGCCTCACTTTCATTCGGTAAACTGGTTTGCATACCGATTCGCTCTTCTCCTTTATCTGTGTGTCAACGGTGTCGTCCATTATTAAGTCAACTGCTTATCAGAAATTATATGTCATCTAATGTCCAAAATCAGCTATTGAAACAATCTTATTTACCGATGCAGCAACTGTTAGTAAATTGGAGAACCATCAAGGTTAAATGTGTTGGAAATCATATTATAATAAGTAACTATTCGACATCTAATGGGGACAAAAAGGAAGAAAGGTTGGTCTTCAGTAATTATTTGTAGATTCTCACTGACAATTTGCGTATTTTCTCACTAGATTCAGGTCACCTTTGGATAGACAATCTCGGTCCAATTCAAGTGACAGTACGAAAGATAAAGACGCAAACAAAGAGAAAGATCCCGAAAAAGAAAAAGAGGACCCAGAAAAAAATAAAAAAGACGATCAGAAAGTTTACATGTTCGCTCATTCTGTACTCTCTATGTTCTTGATTGGATATTTACTTTACGCTATGCAATCTGACCCACAAGGTGAAGTTAATATGGGTTTCATATCTTGGAACGAGTTCTATCATTTAATGTTGAGTACAGGAGAAGTAAAACAATTGACTATTCGTCCTGACCGAAACATGGTCATTGTTCAACTTCATGATGGAGCTATAATTCAAGGAAAAAGGCCTTATCTTAGAACTTTTTTCCTAAATGTTGCTGACATCGAATCATTTGAAAGAAAATTGAGAAAAGCTGAAGAAGATCTGGGAATAAGCTCCGAAAATGGTGTTCCTGTTTTCTATGAAAGAGGTGGTGACAATAGCTACATCACTCTGTTGTTGTTAATTATGTTAGCCTTATACGCTCTCTCTTTAACACAAGTCCGATCAAGTGTCTCATCTTCTAGTAATGTTTTCGTAAGTTTTATCTATCACAACCCATAAAAATAACACCGTAAAAACATCAGAAATCAATCAGTTAGTAAATTCAAAGTGTACTATGAATGGACTGCATTTGACGCTTGGCTTGCACTAGCATCTTATTTTCTGACATATTTTTATGGATAACATTGGTTTCTTGATGTAAATTTTTGAAAATATTATATAATAATAACTATTAATTATTTTCTTACAGTCCAAACTTGGAAGAGCACGTTTCACTGTTGTTGATTCATTAACAGGGGCAGGTAAAGGAGTTAAATTTGCCGATGTTGCAGGTCTCAAAGAAGCAAAAATTGAAATTATGGAGTTTGTCGATTATCTCAAAGCTCCTGAAAAATTCAAGGTATTACTTTTATTTTATCGATGAAAATGCAATTCTAATATCATTATCCAATTCACAGGCATTAGGAGCTAAAGTACCTCGAGGTGTTTTGCTTTTAGGTCCTCCTGGTTGTGGTAAAACTATGTTAGCCAAAGCAGTTGCCTCAGAAGCAAATGTTCCGTTTTTGGCGATGGCTGGAACTGAGTTCATCGAAATGATTGGTGGACTTGGAGCATCTAGAGTGAGAGATCTTTTCAAAGAAGCTCGAAAAAGAGCACCTTGTATAGTTTATATTGACGAAATCGATGCAATCGGAAGGAAAAGGAGTGGAACTAGAGTCGAAACTTCAGGAGAAGAAGAACAAACTCTAAATCAATTGCTAGTTGAAATGGATGGTATGGCTGGCCGAGAAGGTGTCATTCTTTTAGGGTCGACAAACAGAGCTGAAGTTCTGGACAAAGCACTACTTCGACCTGGTAGATTTGATCGACATATTCTCATAGATTTACCTACACTAGAAGAAAGAAAAGAAACTTTTGAGAAATACTTGAAAAATATAAAACTTTCGATAAAACCAGAAAATGTCTCATCACGTCTGGCCTCTTTAACTCCTGGATTCAGTGGAGCCGATATCGCCAATGTGTGCAATGAATCAGCCCTTAATGCGGCTAGATATAAACGAAAAGCAGTTACTCCTAATGATCTTGAATATGCCGTTGAAAGAGTAATTGGAGGAATCGAGAAGAAAAGTCAAGCTTTAAGCCCAGGAGAGAAGAAGGTTGTGGCTTATCACGAATGTGGACATGCTTTAACTGGATGGTTATTGAAGCACACCGATGCTCTTCTTAAGGTCACTATTGTTCCGCGAACTAACAATGTGCTTGGTTTCGCTCAATATTTACCGTCAGAGCAACAACTTTACTCAAAGGAGGAATTATTTGATAAGATGTGCATGGCTTTAGGCGGTAGAGTTGCTGAATCTGTTATTTTCAACAGAATAAGCTCTGGTGCTCAAGATGATTTGAAAAAAGTTACCAAAATGGCTTATGGAATGATTAAACAATATGGAATGGACGATGTCGTAGGTCCACTATCTTTTGCCAGTGAAGATGGTGATGATAGCTTTTCAAAAAAACCTTATAGTAAAAAATTAGGCAATATTATTGATAACCAAGCTCGCATGTTAGTTGCTCAGGCCTACAAAGCAACCGAAAAAATTTTACTTGAAAACAAAGATAAATTAAAGAAACTCTCAGAGGAACTTTTGGAACGAGAAGTTCTTAATTACAATGACATTGAAAAATTGATTGGCCCACCCCCACATGGAGCCAAAAAGATGATCCAATCTCTAGACTTGTCTGCTTATGAAAACTCAGAGAGTCAAGAGAATCAAGAATCTTCACCCAATGAAATTATTTCTAACGATGAAAACAGACCAAATAACTCTAAGCCTTCAGACAGAGTTTAAATTATTGTATTTCATGTATAATTGAATTTGTAATATTTTAGATTGTAAATTTACCGATAAAATACTTATAAATCTTTATCTTGTAAAATAATTAAGTATAGCAACTTGTTAAACCTGCGAAATAAATAAACAATTTATTGACATTAAATAATGAGAAAATTCTTTCAATATTTATTTTCATCGATTCATGAATTTGAAACTATTTTGAGAACTTTTACCACTCCGTTCATTTACGGTTACCCATCAGACGAACTGAGGCCTCAGCTTTTCAGGTCAATGAGTCGATATTGAGTGATCTCACATGGATGAATTCTTGGGCTATTTTGAAAAATCAAAAACTATTTGCGTGAAAATCGAAGTGATATGTGGAGCTTTTAATGTAATAAACATTTGATTTTTGATTTGATTTTTGGATGACATCTAACTCTATCTTGCTTTATTTACAGAATAAAATAAAATGGCGAGTTTTAATAAAGTCTAGTTCGAGTGAAGTTGCAAAATGAAATGTTTTAAAAAGTTACAATATTATTTTAGCAAAATTTTTTTAAAGTGTAGTGAAAAATTGTTTTCATTCAAATAATTTAACCCTACCACATGAGATCATAAAATAGTATTAAAATTGACGAATTTATGGATTTATCAACTTGGGTGTGATTTTGATTCAAATCATGTGATTTAAGCTTCAACTACTTGTGAGTAAAGAAATTATCAAACAGTAAAGGAATACAAAAAAGTGAATCAGCTGAAAACATAGGTGCATGATGGAATGTGTTGTATATTGCTTTAGATTTCCTTTGTGATAAATTTCTGTCGGATCAAATAGACCCATGTTGCCTTGTGGCACTGAGCAATACCTGAATAAGCAAAGAAAACATCAGTCAATATGAGTGAAACACGGATAAATGATAACAAAACAAGGTACCTGTAAATCATCCAAATAGTTAATGGCGCATTGATTATAAAGAGTATCCAATGGCCGGTCAATAGAAGGGCGATTGTCAACAAACCATGGCCGCAGAATTCAAATTTAACCAGTGGATTAAGTTTATCACAGCAATCCCGAGAGTTAATGTAATCACACTCCAAGTCTGACAAGGTAATGATCTGAAACATGAAGATCAATCGAATTGATATTATTATCAAACAAACTATTCGAGGAAAGGTTCAAATTACTTACGAAGTAGATTGACAGGAAAAGAAGAGCACCCGTATCAATAAGAGCAAAGGTGAACAACGCAGATTCGATGTTCATCATGAGAGGAAGAGAGGTAAGAAAAAGAAAGTAATGTTAAGAATTGTGAATTGTGAAGCTTTTATAGAAGCTTATGCTACTTCCACAAATGTAAGTTCAAACCTTCCTCTGTATTGCCCAGTCTCATTACTCTTCTTGTCTGTTGTTGATTTTAATTTAGTTTTTCTTGTTACTTAAATTGTTAATTTAATTGGATCTCTTTTTACTTCTTCCGTCAATTCCTTTTCCTTCATTCTTAATTATATTCTGTTTATCTTAACATTGTTTTGATGATTTGTATGATAAAACTTTTAAATTTTATCTATCAATAGAAAACGCTTTTACCTCTTGTGACCTCTCTTTTCCTCTTGCAATATCTTCTGTCTAATTGTCATTTTTTCATTTAAAAATCTTCCATTATTGTTATTTATTTTGTGCGCCTTAAGATAATTATGGTTGTTTGCAAATATTATCAGACTGGCTTTTGCAAATTTGGCGACCGATGCCGTTTTGAACATGTTGATCGAGGTAAGTTGCACTCTTTACTTTCCACCTGACCCTTTTATTTACTTATTGGTAGCATAGTCTTTATGTATGATTTGCATTTCTTTTGTTAAAATTGCCTCTATTTTTTCTCATTTTTTACCTTTGTAGTTAATTATTCAACTAGTCATAACATTCCACGGTATCCCGATCAATATGTAAATCGATTCCCTGGACCAAATTATATTAATAACCCGGTAGCTGCTGCCGCTGCTGCTGCTGCTGTTTCAGGAACTGGATCTGGCTACAACCAACGAGGTTCAATGGTATCTTCTAAGAAACCTGATCAGTATCATTATGTTGGAACTGTTTATGATAGACAATTTCAAGCAAGCGGTGGACAATCCTATAATCATCAAAGTAGGTTACAGCATAGTCATACCGGTCATTCTGGAAGTGGTAATAGTGGTAACACTATCAGTGGGACTAGTGGACAAGTTCATCAAACTCATCATTCTCAACATCAACAACATGGAATCATACCAGTTCAATATTGGCAAGTTCAGAGGCATCAACAAATGCAGCCAAGCAATCATCAATCTCACTCAAGCAGTCAAAGGCAATCTCAAGGAGCACACCATGGTCATGGTCAAGGTCAAAGTGGAGGACTGCACCAATCTAACAATCAACATCATGGTTCCGGTGGTCAACACCATCAACAATCGACTGGATTTAGCTTTAATCAAAAGCTCAAAGAAATCGAGTCTAGCCAAAGTAATTATTGCAAATTGAATTTCCGTTGCTATAAAACTTGATGATTTAATTTTATTTTCTTCTTTCATTTTAGAGCCTCAAGTTGGATTTAGTTTTAATCGAACTCTTCAACAAATTCAACAATATCAACCTCATCTAGCTCATCAGGCCCAAAATCAGTATTATCTGACCCCAACGCCTATGTTAACGGTGCCCGTTCAAGCACCTTACTATGGAGTAACCATGCCTATGCCGATGGCTCATAATCCATTGGCACCCATGTTTTCGTCGATGCTGCCATCAAATACTGCTGACCCTAAAATGATGTCATCATACTTATCTCAACAACAAACAACACAGGGCAAAATATCTATGAATCTTTCCGATGACGACAGCGGTATTTATAGTGTAATGAGCTCTCTTGCTCCAGAAGAGTTGAGTCAATATAAGGCTGACAAATTCACATTTCCGCATATTCCAATCAACCCTCCACCAAAGGAACTTTGTCTTTGAAGTTGACGCCAGCATTCCTAGTCAAAATGATTTAATCAACACAGAGATTAAATTCAGCCACATAGGACATCAAAATTTAGCATTGATACCATTTTTAGTAGTTTAACTAATTTATAAAATGGACTCCTTCGATCTCTTTTCTTCTTTTTCTTATTACATTTTTTTCTCAATCTGTAATGTTGATCCCATGTTTTCATTCGTAAGATTGTTCCGAGGAATCCATTCTACAGCCTATTTTTAGTGAATGAGTTGTCATTCCATCTTTTAACCATGAGATAATAAATTGTTCCTCGATTTACCATTTTTTGATTTCTTCAGTTGTCTCAACTTTTATTATAGCCATAAAATTTTAAAACTACAGAAATATAACTGTATGAATATATTCGAGGTTTCAAAATCTTTAGATTTTTACACTAATCAGTTTAAAAAAAGCAAATCTACTGGAAAAATTTCTTGGACTTGTCACGAAACTTATTTTTATAATTTTAGTCATTTTCTGCTACAACTCGATAATCAAAGTTCAATCATTAAACCCTGATAATTCTTCTGAATTTATTATCTAGTTAAGTTTATTTTTGATCATTTGATTATGGATAGTCATTTCTTGCTTAGCTCACAAAAATTGACACTGGATGATATTAATAGTTTAACCAATTTGAATAACATTCAATAATTATTTATGAGGTCGATTGAAATTTTTGACAAGCTACAATCGCAAAATTTAATTTCAGAAATTTGTTAACCACACATATGGTTGATTGGCTTTGAAAGTTCCGTTGACCTGATTTAAAATAAAACAAAAGATATATTTGATGATAAAATGCTGAAAGAAAATGAAACAGACTTTAAGGTCAAGAAGAAAGGCTGATTTAAATGGTTTGTTTGAATGTAAACTGTCAATCAGGTAAATAAATATGGTGTTTAGGAAGAAATTCAATGATGAGGACATAATCCATGAATGAATTGTTAGAGTGACATCTTTCTTTGCCTAGTTTCCAATTAAGGCCAAGCTTGTGATAGAGACGATTATTTTCACTGTACAGTAGCTTCTCTAAAGCATTTCAAGTACGTTTCGATAAAGCTAGTGTTGGCCATCCAGTAAAAAGGACGCGTGCATTGATTGAATTTCAAGAGATTATTAACTCGATTTATGGTAGCATCAAATTCGTTACCACGGGTCGTTATTTGTTCCATTTTGGGATAATCAATGTCAGGCATTGAAATAAAATCGCTCTCATTGGAATGAGATTCATGATTAGACTCAATCTCTTCAATCATATCATCAAACTGTTGTCTATTCTGATTGCTTGAGCTTAATTTTTTATCCATATCAAAAAAAAATGTTTGGAAGAGATCGCAGCTTAGGAAAATTATGATTGGTTTAATTGGTTTGTTTGTTCGTCAATTTCTTCGTAGAACGGAGTGACATCGCTTTTGATTCGATGTTTGTAAACAAGATGATTGATGATTATTTCTTTGTCCGAGAAATTATTAGAGCATATTTTACATTTGAATTTTCCAGAAGAATCAACTGATTCCTGGGGTATCTCGGGTATCTTTTGGTGTCCATCTTCTACTAAATAGCCGAAGTGTTGAGTGAAATTTTTGACGATTTGATGAGCTAGATTAAGGTGCTGTTTAAACGTAGAAAGAAACAAAAAATGGGATTAATGAATTACTTTTCTACGAAAAACTTCAACTTTAACTTACTTTGAACATGTTTGATCTTGATCTGTATTTGACATCACAATGGTTACAGATACAAATGTATCCGTAATGTGTTGAATATTGGTGTTCTCTGATTCCACAATAAGTTTTACATTCTTTTGCACAAGAAATGCATTGGTAAACCTTCTTGTTCCCTACTCTGATAACCTCATAACAATCTTTATTTATATCAGGAATGCGTGATGATAATCTCTCGAATGGTTTAACCGAGCTAGTTGTTAGACTTTTATTGCCTTCAATTAAGGGTTCTTTCAAATCATCTTCTTCGTCGATTTCTTCTTCTTCATCCTCAATGAGATCTTGATGTGAAAGATTTGATGGAAGATCGTCCGATTGCTCAATTTTAATTTCATTGCCATTAACTGAATTAATGATTTCCATTGTGTTCTAAAAACAGAAAAGAGAAAGGAAAAGATTGTAATATTTCAAATAATAATTGCGTTGACAGTAACTTACCTCTGGTTCAAGAGAAGGTTCAGGATTTAAATCAGGTTCACTAGAAAACTCTTTTCTTTGTCTTGTTACATAAGTGTCTTCAGAACTTGTTCGTGATTTATGATAATTGCGAATATGTTTAACAATATCAGCCCTCCAAACAGAAACAAAAGGACATCTTTTACACCGGAATTCAAGGTGATAATGTTGAGTCTCAATATGAGCTTTGATTGAGGTCCAACAATGTACAACATAGTTGCAGAGATTGCAAGTGTATTCATCTTTGTTTGCTGTTTTAGTGTAATATTTTTTGGTACTGTAAAGCCCGGCCCCAGGTCCGTTTTTTCGTAATTTAACTGGACTCCCATTTGAATCATAAGAAACATCGTTATAATTAATATCATAAGAAATTCTGTTATGGTTTCCGTCTTGATTATCGTCCATGAAAGAAGTATAGCCCCTCAATTCCAATTCATTGTCATTCATGTCAACACTATAATTCCTTTCTTCAAGCATATTGGGTTTTTCATCGTAAGGATAGTCCAATTCAAGCTCAGGGTCAGTTTGAGTGCCATCATTTGCTATGGACGAATTTTTCTGCGATGCTTGATCCACACGTCGTTTTCTATTTTTTTCAAGTCTAGGATCTCTTGAAGATGCGTCTTTGACTCCTGGTCTCACAATAACTGAACTTGATTTGGTATGAACGTCATTTGATGGATTGTTTACATTTCCTGAGTTTCTATTATTGACTGGTGAAGGTGGAGTTTCGGGAGTTGGAGGTCTAGAGACTGCAGAGGTAGCAGCGATAGCAGCTGCAGATGTGATTACACCAATGGAGCCGGCACCGCCATTAATAGGATCACGATAAGGCACAGGCGATGCCATAACTCTGATGAAACCATTGCGTCCATTTCTTAATGTCAATTCTATATCCAACAAACGAGCAACATTTTGCAGCCCAGTCAATCTAGGATTACTGACTTCAGCATAAGTCAATGAATAAAGCACATGAAAAAGGCACTTTAGATCTCGTATTGAATTGTTTTTCAAGTGAACAGCCGGTTTATTGCCGTTTAAACCACTGGAAAGAGGAGCCTTGGATTGATATGATTCCAAAGCTTCTCCAAGTAAACGCGAGTAGTTAGTCAAGATAAAACGATTGCCAGTAATACAACCATCACGACAGATGAATGTTATCTTATCCCAGCTCATGATGAAATGCTGATGGTAACGATATTTATGTATAAAATGAATGTGATTCTTTAAATTATTTAATTAAGGCTTTTATCTTTTCCGTTCATTAATTTAAATTGACATTCTTAACAGAAAAGAAACGTTGTCATGGTAGCAAAAATATTAATTTAATTCAACAGGAAAATTCTAATGAGATATCAGTGTTTTAATAGCAACTATCAGGCACATTCAGGTTAAGCATTGTCAAATAGAGATACCTGAAAAGAACAATAGAGAAGATAGAAGAAAGAAATGACATCCATCAGAATACAGTTAAAAATAAAATGAGTAGAAGAATAACATTGTGGGAAATAAGGTGAAAAACACAAATCCAAGCAACTTACCTTGTGAGTTGATAATCTTGTAATAATCCGAAATAATAAATAAAAATTAAAATCAATAAATAAACAGGGTAAATAAAAAAAATGAAAACAATCAGCTCTGGAACATTTGTTAATCCATCAAATAAAAATATAAAAGCTATTCCTACTAAAAAACAAGTCAAAATAGAGAGTATTCAATGAATGCTGTTCATTGCTCTCTGCTTTTAGGAGAGGCTGGACGATTCAGGCTGGATCGCCACAGTTGTACAAACATTTCACAGAATGTGAAAGGGAATATTTCATAAGTTACATTTACGTCATTATATTTTATTAAATATCAAATACTCAATTATTATTAATTTTTCTTTCTGTTTCCATTTAATAATAATTCTGAATAACTAGCTTGTTATTAAATGCCAAATTAAAGAAATGCTAAATATTGATTCTAGAGCAACGGTGAAGATGTGGTTTTGAATATTGTATCTTTACGTTTTGCAGCCATGAATCCACTTATTTCTATCTGTATCTATTTTAACAATTGTTTGCCCCAATTTACATAATCATTTAACTAAATCGCTGATTATCAATTTGTACTCTAAAGGTGATATCAGCGCATCACTTAAATTTTAATGGGAACCTTCTCACGGTTAAGAAACATTTAAAATGTAAAGAACTACAGAGATTTGTTTCAGACTTTAAGGCTGAAATTGTACCTTCATGATCTGCGTTTTATTATACGATGCCTAGAGAATCATGGAGTTGTATCAAATAAACCTGAATTGAATGGCGAATAGGCTGTAATAATACTAGTAATAGTAATCTTGAATAACCTGTAGGTTCTGCGGTAAAATCGGAAACTCAAATATTTGATACTGATACGATATCATTACAATGTTGGTTGTTTAACTAATCTCCAAGTGAACATCAATAAATACTGATTCATTAATATTGATTTCAATGATCTACTCTGATAGACACAGTCAAATACTAATAAGTAATTGATAGCAGAGATTGTCTCGGTGCAAATGCTTATTTATGTTATTGATACAATTGTAAACGAAATTCACTGAAATTATTATATTGATAGTTTTCCAAGAATGGTTGAATATTTTTTTTAATCAATGAATTTTGTTACCAGGTTATTTGATTTCGTTAAGATAAAAATTTTTAGCAAATTATTACCAAAACTTTATTTTGAAGTTGACGCCAGTATTCCTAAAATGATGTCATCATGCTTATCTCAACAATCAACAAAAATCAAAATATCTACTGGGTGTATAGAAAGTTTATGCTCAATTTAGGGGGAAAAACAATTTCTGTTTATACGCATTTGAGGGATATTTTTTCCCCTGCATAAACTTTTCATCAACCTTATATGAATCTTTCCGATGACGACAGTGGTATTTACAATGTAATTAAGTCTCTAGCTCCAAATGAATTGACTAATAATTACGCGGTAAAAATCAACTTTTACCTTAAATTTTACTAAGATTACAATTGAAACTGGACATTCAATCACTAACCTTTTAGTTATCAGATCCGATAACAAAGGTTAACAATTGATTGTCCATCTTCC